ATAAGACTTAAGGTGATTTATGCATTGCTACATCAACTTTAAGGATTCTAGGGAACACCAGTTTTATTTTATGGATAAATTACATTTTGCAGACTCCCATTAAGGTGATGACTTGCTCTAATGCGGTTTTGTGTTCTTTCCTCTCGTGGGTTTTCTACATATCAGGGCACACATTGCCCAGCAGTGTACTCAATCCTCTGTGACAATGGTATGAACAAAGTGCTAAGGAAGTAGAGGGAAAAGAGCCCAGGAAGATTCTTTAGAAGAAGTGACATTTAAACTGGCCCTTGGAGGATTAATAGAAATTTAGTTGGCAGAGAAAGGAGAGTACAGAGTAATCTCAAGAAATAGAGAATATTCTGGTGTTGATAAATCATATTTATAGGTTTTTTAGAAACTATTAATGTTAGAAAATATTAACAAAGTTAACAACATTTGAGCAATGTATCACTTAAGATGTCCAGTTTAATCTTGTAGATAGTAAAAGAAGTTAGGGCCTAAAATGGTTCTTATCACCTGTAATTTTAGTACTGGTAAATTATTTACAAAGCCATTCCCTTGGCGGGGAGGTCTGGGATCTTCAGAGAAGGAAAGAATTGGACTGAGAAGTCTCTCTTCAACTAGCGTGAGGGAAGAGAAAGAGCTGGCTGCTTCTGATCCTTAGGGAATTGAGATAAAACACTAAGGGCTTATGAAAGACCATAGAAGAAGAGGGAGACTACTACTTTCCACTAGCAGAAAGGGCAAAGGAGGAAGGAAAATCTCTATTTAGGAAAAGCAGAAGTTTGAAAGTCCATGAATAATTCTTGAGATAATGGGAAATAATAATCCTTTAAAATTGAATGACATCTATACTGAAATAAATTATGATTATAAATGTTACGATCTTTTCTTTAGAAGACTATTTGGAGGAAATGAGATGGACCCCTGAATTGTAGTTCTGTTAGTCTTTTTCCCTTTCATTTTGTCATAAAGTATTTATTGACTTTTCTGGATTTGTATATATTTTTACGCACTCCGGGTTATCCCATTGATTCTGGGTAGACAACTTAACCATGTAGAAACAAGAATTTATGCCTGTAAATGTAGTTTCTGTATGTCACAGTGCTCACTGGACTACTCTATTTATCATATATAGTCTTATTCCATGGGTTTTGTATAATTTAGAAAACTTTTTTAACAGCATAACCTTGGTTTTGAGTCATTCATAGCACTGCATGTTCTGTCAGTAGGGATGATATAATATGCCTTTTGAGGGAAGGCACCAGATTGAAATATTATTTTCTTCAGGTTTTCATTGATACTTGCCATTTGGTGAAGAGAACATACTATTTGTTCCAGATTAGTGGACTGATAATAGAAAACAACTTTCCCAGAAAATTCTTTCTCCTATTAATTACAAGACTGTGAACCTTGAAAAATCCTAAGCAGAGGGCAGTGATCTTTATCTGCTTTATTCACCGCTGTGTCCAACCATGAAAACAGTGCCTTCGTAGGTATTTAATAAATATTTGTTGAATGAACTAATCTCTAGCACACCTTTTAATCAATAAGTGCAGCTTTTTAAATTCTCCCTATTGACCTTTGGTGTGAACAAAGGGCCTAATTGTCTGTTGGAGTATTTTTTCTTTAACTGGATTTTCCTTTCTCTCTGGAAAGTGCGGAAATAAGTTTCTGCAGCTCCTCAATAAAGGTGGTTTGTGCCTTAGGAGCATGTGCCTTTGACCCCCCACACACACTTCAAATACTTACAGAGACTTACAATATACTAATCTTTATACTTAAAGGTAATGCTGGGAGTAATCAACACAGAATCATGGGGCTTTATTTTGTTGATTTGTCTGACGGACTTTAGAGATCATCTAGTCCAACTCGCTCACTTTAAGGTTGTTGAGAAAACTAAAGCCCTGAAAGGGTATTTGCTCAGGGCCCCTCTGTTAATTAGTGGGGACGCAAAAGCTAGAATGCAGACTTCTAGTCAAATGTGTTTTGCACACATAGGATAAATAACTTTTTCAAGGGAAAGCCTTCTCCAGATAAAATATTGATTCACCTCATGGCACATTCATGCAGATATTTTGATGCCCAAACTATTAAAATAATTATTTTTGCCCCAAATATAAAGAGTAAGCACATTTCTTAGCCAAGGACTTTTTTGAAGAATCTGCTCTTCCAAGGTTGTTAATGTGGAGCATATTTACATGTCTAGATGTATATTATTAGTAGGTGATCTCTTAGATTCATATTTTACCATAAATAATTTAAATTTGTTTTAATATCTTAAATTATATTTCAAAGCAAATTGACTTCTGAATAGTGAAACACAAAAAATTGTATAGAATATTCTCAGTTGCTAGTATACAAACTCCTTTGGGTTCTGTTGCTGTGTCTATACCTCAAGTAGCCTTTGAGGACCTAGGTGGTTAACTAGATAAGTTAATGTGAGGATCAAACTGAATATTAAGAGCTTATATTATAACAGCACTAATTTAATATTAAAAATGCTTTCCCCCTAGCAATCTTTATATTTTAGGTAAAGGTAGTAGATTTTTAAATTTAAATTAACTAGATTTTGGTCATTTTTTGTTTTAATTATATAGATAGGAATTAATAAGTGTTTTTTTTCTTTCTTTTTTTTTTTTTTTTTTTTTGGCCAAAAGCTCCCATAACTTTGAACTTCTTGGAGGAGGGCACACAAGAAGAAATAACTAAATAACTAAAGAGATAATCTGTATGTCTCGCAATCTTATCGTCAGGGCCGGCGGGATCCCAGCTGCCACACGCACTGCATCTTCCTCTCAGCAGCCCCTTGATAAGGCCTCGCCGCCAGATAAGGCGCAGCAGCCCCATTCAAATACATTTATTCATGATGCTGTAGATTACAGGAAAAATTTCTCTTTTCAAATAGTTCATTAAATTAACACCATAGCATCATTTTACATTCAGAAGAGCACACAAATCTCAAATGCTTGTTTCAAATAAGGCACATCTCAGTGTTTATCTCAGCATTTGGTATTCAGTAATATTTTTAACAATTTCTACCTTGTATTCCATTTCAAAGTGAATTTATTATAGACAAATCATTTTTATTTCTCCATGTTTCAAAAACGAAATAGAAATTATACTTTGGATTAGTGAATGTCATATAACTTTTCTTTGTGAAAGAAAGGCAACCATTCTAAAATTTCAGTGACACTATATTTAATTACTAAATTTTAAAAATGAATCCAGAATTTGAAAAGACAGTTTCATAAATGAAATTAGGTATTAGGAAAATAGCAGATGGAGTGTGAATATTGGGATACATTTCTAGTTGGCAGTATACTTAACTAATTCAGCTTAGAGTTTCAGAAATGATAAAAGAGAGACAACTTTGATCAAATATGTGTAAACTGAGCACTTTTTAAATGCTAAACTTGGAAAATCCACTTACATTTTATCAGCTGGAAGTGACAGTTATCACCCGAATAATCCACTGTTTCTGTTCATTTAAAATGTCCTCCTGGGAATTCATTAATATATAAGACCACAATGAGCAAAAAGCCAAAGTGCTAGTTTATTTCTAAAGTTCCTCTTGTTGGTTTGTCCAGACCCTCCAAAAGATAGTATAAAAAATAATTGGGTGCACAATGCAATATACAGACTATGTATCGTAGAAATGTACACTTGAAACCCATATAATCCTCTTAACCTATGTCACCCCAATAAATGTAATTTTAAAAAAGTAAGAAAAAGAAAAAAATAGAAAAATTCTATACAGCCTAAATATGTTAGGATTTTATTTTTCAGATGCTTTAAAATAGCCTTGGGAAATATATGTAGCCATGAATTATAGGCCTAATTTCTAAAAATGTTTTTAGAAAATACATTATAAATGTGGAATTTAATTATGTAAAGTTCTATAAGTCTGGCTTGCCCAAGCCTTTGTTAAATTGATTCTTATTTATATTAGTTCTTAATAATTTACTTTATAATATTCAATACTTTATAATTGATAATTTGCTTATATTTCATGTAAGGAATAAACTTAGATTTAATAAATTGTATATTGTGATATAATTAAACAAAATTATATTTTTCCTACTGTTTATAGAAAAATATAATAAAAATGGAATTTTTAATAATTTTAGGAACAATTTTAGTAATTTTGGTGCCCAAATCTGAGTGATCAAAAATATTCTCCTTCCATTCAACATTGAACAATCATTAAAATGAGACTTTTAGGATGTTTTTCAGACAGTTCTTGGACTGACAGGATCAACATCTAAGCAGCTTTAGATTCATCTAAGAAAATAAATTGAATAGGGTTTTAATATAAGACTTTTTTTTTTTGTTAAAAGTACACACTTCATAATCTGCTAGGTTCAAAATATACAAAAAAATTTCAACTTTAAAGTTTATAATCAATTTTGAATCATAACAAACCCTTGATGAAGTAAAACCAAAGCTCTTTTTAACCACAGTGACTCTTGGAAAAGAAATATCTTTACCATTTTCAACAAAGCTATGAAAGTAAATGTGAAAAAATTTGGCAACTATAAAATTATTAAAGGAAATTGATAGCAAAACTGGATAATTCAGTCAAAGTATATACTTAGAACTCAATTTGGATAGTGATGTAGCAAATAAGCCTCTTCCTGAAGCCTTTAGTGAGATGCAGTTGCCTAAATTTCTTAATTATTTTTACCAATTATATCATTATCTTAATAATAATTCACATTTTAAAAAATTTTTTTGCTATAGTTACTTTAATCATTTTTGATGTTTTTACAATTTTCTCAGAAAAATTTCCATATATTCTACAAAAAAATAAAATACAATAGTAATTTTTCTTAAAAGCATTTATTCTACTGAAAGCAATCACATATGGAAGTAAACTGATTTTTGTTTTGTATAATTCTAAAAGTTTTTTAAGCAGTTTATTTTCAGATCTGTATTTTACATTGTGCTTTTTTGTTTGTTTGGTTGGTTTTGTTTATTTGTTTGTTTTATTTCAATAGCCTTTTATGTCACCTCGGTACCCTGGAGGTCCAAGGCCCCCATTGAGGATACCTAACCAGGTAAGATTTATGTGCTACTTAAGTTTTTTGTTTGTTTGCTTGTTTGTTTAAGAATCAATATAGATCTGGGAAAGTATCACAAGTATTTTTTACCTATAAAAATATTAAATTATCCTTTATTCCATTTAATGCTACTTTTAGTAATATATAATCTATTTCAAGGGTTGGCCAACTACGGTCCATAGATTGGATGACTGTTTTTGTAAATAAAGTTTTATTGGAACACAGCCACATGTAATTCATTTATGCATTGTTATGGCTTCTTTTACACTGCAAAGGAAGATTGAGTGGTCATGAGAGAGACCATATATGGCCTGCAAAGTTTGCTGACCCTTAGAGTCTACCATGTACTTTGAACCTAATTTTCAGATACGTATAATTTTCATAAATGCTGATTATACTTATTTAAAGGATGGCAATAAAACTTTCTATGAGCATATTTTGGTTTATTTTTCAAATATATTTTCAGTATCATGGGTATAAAATTTATATCAATTTTGCCCAATTATATTGACATACCAGGTATATAATTTGCTGCTTCTAGGAGGGTTAGATCTATTAATAAATAATTAACAATAGATCTTCCAACTGTTTTACCTACGAGAGCTCTGAGATTTTGTAAACCTTTGTCCTCGAATAGTTTTTTATTAACATCATAAATATTTATTTGCTAAAGTAAATAAAGCACATATTTTACTTGCAAGGACTATATAGTTTAATTTTAGGATACATATAACACAAAAAGAAATTAAATGCTTGACTGTATGGAAAATTATATCAAGATAATTGTTTTGTCACTTTCTCTAATTTTGTAATTTATATGCCTTAGCTTTTTTCCAGATTTCAAATAAACTTGTTATCACAGTATATTCTCTTTTTCATTCTTATTCTTTATTTTCACGTCCTTCCTGACCAAAAAGAGAAGGAAGTTGTGCTTCCTAACACACCTTATAGCAGAGTCTGCTGCTTCTCACTCAGCTCTTACTGAAACTAAGCAGGGTCCCAGTTGGCTGGTGGTGTCGCTTCTAGTGCCCAGGAGGGAGAGCGGCCCCAAGTTCTGCCCCAGGGCACAGCTTTTACCAGGAAGCAGTGCTGGAAGTCTTCACATTAGCAGCTGGAGGAGTTTTCTCCTTCAGACCGAATCTGCATTCAGAATTTAGGGCCATGGGAGCATGGCATGAAATAGGAGAGAGAAAGGCACAGATGCCAAGGGTTCGAACATATGGGAATTTTGTTTTCTCTGTGGGCGAACCATGTATATTGACAGTCAGATCTACTTACATAGCTGCCTAAGTCTTTTGCATTTCTTTTCAAAGGACAGAAAGTTGTTAATAGTATAAACAACTGTTAATAGTGTGAACATACAGTTTTAGGAAATATTTAACCTATTTAGGAGCATGACCCTTTCCAGCAACAGGACTGTTCTTCACTTTCGTTGTGCACTCATTAAGTAGAATTGGCAGAACTGTTGTTGGTGATTAATTCAAGTGATGTATACAAAACACAAATGTATTAAATACTTGTTATTTGGTCTTCATTTACAGTGATCGTAAACTAATGAAATTTTGTTTTATTGATAGGTTATATCTAAGAACATAAAAAGTGAAATATTAATCTCTTCAACGGTTAACTAATCATTTTGAATATGTTAATAGGCATTCCTTTAATAAATGGATCCTTCAGAATTTATAATTACTTATAATTAGGTTATAGATTTTAGTATAAGTTCTCCTGAGATGGTTTTTCATGGTTCTGAACTAAGTTTACAAATTTTTTATATTTATAAGGTTTGTATATTCATAGGACTGAGTATTTGGAATATGGTATAATATCCAAAAAATATATGAAGGAGTAAATAGTCTCTAAAATGATGAAAAGAGAGTCAAATTACAAAAATACACAATTTGGCAAAGAAAAAATGTATATGTGAAAACACAGACATTAAGTCCAAAACACTTTTTTTACTATACAATTTTACACTGGAATTGCTTCAGCTGTCAGAATGGGCCACTGGTGTTGACGTGTCCATAACCTGGAGTAGAGCAGGTCTTTATTCTTCTCATAGATAAAATGTCTAAGCAGAAAAATTCACGATGTTTATTCAACACTATTCTGAGGAAACCAAGGCAGCCAGAAATGCAGACTGTTAATGAGTGACTCCAAGAATAAACTATTGATTTATTGAGCCTATAGAGTTTTGAGAATTTATACTCTTTCCCACCATTCCTGAAACTCTGTCAACAGGTATGTGAATTGAAATAACACAGTTACTACTGTTGATTCAGCTTTATATTCTAAAGCTGAATCGAGTATTCAAAAGCACATTACATTTAACTGTTTACTGGAACTCTCAAAGATATTTGTCCAATAATAAGTGTTTAAATAAATTATGATGTATCTAAATGGTGAAGTAGTATGCAGCTATTAAAAGGCATGCTATACAGTGAAATTTATAGATATGATAAAATATTTATGATCTACTATCCAATGTGAGAAAGCAGGCACAGATGTACATAGTACACCACCTTTGCTACATCACTGTACACGCTTAGCACGCTTCCCCCGCTCCTGTGCCCCCTCCACACGCATTTATCACAGAGACGATAAGGCCCATATCCTTTATTTCTGGGTGGTAAGATAATGAGTGATTTTTTTTGATTTTCTATATTTTCTAAGTTTGCATTGAGCTGGTAATAATTTGTGATTAGAAAAAAGATATTAGTTGTGGTTATTCAATATATAAGATTATCCTTTATTAATATTGAATGTATAGTTTTTACAGTATAAAAGGAAAACCATAATGGATGCTGAGGATAGACAAGTCTTAAAAAGACTTTACTATATCACTTTTCAGATAGGGAAAAAATCAGCAGGCATTTGAGCAGAAAAAATAAGTCGTTGGGACATTTACTTGCATGCTGAAAATAAATTTACTATATCCCCATATAACCAATGTATTTTCAACAAACTACATACTTACTCTTTTCACATGTTCTCTTATTAAGGATACATGCTATTTAGCATGTCCTTTACAAATAATTTTCTGTCTTCGTAAAATTTTTCACATGTAGAATTTTACTTCTATTTAATGATATCAATATGAAAATGTAAAAGAAAGACTTTAGCTGCATAAATAGAAATATGTTCTACACTGAATAAGTAGAAGGAGTCTTATAGCTAAAATTGTAAGGAGGGCAACTACAGCAAATCTCTAACTGTAAAAATTAAATATATTGCATATGTTTAATATAAATTAATGGTTAATGGTGAAAGCATAAAGTAGCTCTCTTTGCCAGTTCAAAATATTCCTTTCTATCAACTGGGATTTCCTTATTTATTTGTTTATTAGTGATAACTGCACTATTAATGTATTTAAGTTACTATGTTAAATCTAATGTAACATTTAAATTGTATTATTTCTTTATGAATTTCGTTATAAGTATATCCTGAGATATATGTTTTCCAATTATTTTCTACCATTGTAGAACAAAGGAAATTAACAAATTCAATGTCTGACAAAAATCAAATTCATTCTTCTTCCCAATCCAAGAAAAGTTTACGTAGTGAATGCTGTGCAGTCTTACTCAGTTTGAGTTATAGTCATATAGAGGTCTTTGGTATAATTACTACTTTCACCAAAACATATCTGATTATTTTATAACCATTTTGTCACAGATATACCCTTTTTGGATATAATCCAATACTAAAAAAAATGCATTGCCGTATATTTGATTAGACATTTCATAGAGCTATATAAAATCTTCTTTAAAAATATTCAATCACTCAACACATACCTGTTGAGGTTTGCTACGGGACAGGCACAATCCCAGATGTGGAGCCACATCAATAAACAAACTAATGAAAATCTCTCTTCTTGTGGATCTGGCATTCTAATGCAGCACTGCAGCAGAACTTCCTGGGGTGATGGACACGTTCTGTGTGGGCACTGTCATATGCAGTGGCTTTAGTACTTTGAGCACCTTTGAGCACTTGAAATGTGGCTAGAGTGAGGAACAAAAATTTTAACCTTATTAATTAATTTAAATAGCCACATGTGGCAAAGGGCTATAGTATTAGAGCAGTTACAATGGTTGAGATACAGCAGAAAGAAAAATAAGTAAATAAATACATATCAGATGGTGAGTTGTGCTGTGGAGATAATGTCTTCCTACACTAACTATAACATTTCTGCATTTTAATATCTTCTCCACATATACTGCCATTTTATAGAAAAAAAAATGACAGTGATGCTGTATAAAATGCCGTAATTGTTTTAAATATCTTAGGTCCGAATGCCAGCAATGCCCAGTAAGTCACTTTGGAGCAAGTCACTTAACCTTCCTGGACCTTGATAGAAAAATGAGAGTGGACTCACCTATTTCTAAAATCCCTTCTAGTTCTAAATTTTCTTAATTATATTATTCTACTTCATTTTGTAAAAATTTAGGTAGATCAAAATTGTTAACTGAATTATATCATAAAAGCATTGAAAAATTAATAATTTTTTTCATCATTAGTGAGCATTTAGTCTCTATGAGTAGACTATATGGTGGTATCCAAGGAAATCTACACCAGAATCTTAAGTTCCTAGAGGGGCTTAGCACTGGTTTCATACTTTCTGTAAACAAAATGATTCTTGTTTGAATCAAGAAATTCCTGCCCTGGCTGCTGTGGCTCAGTTGGTTGGGTGTCATCCCATGCACCTAAGGGTTGCCAGTTCTGCCTGGGTTGAGGGTGGGCTTGAATCCCTGTGTGTGTGGGGGGGGGGGCATGCAGTAGGCAGCATCGATGTTTCACTCTCACATGAAAGTTTCTCTCTCTCTCTCTCTCTCCCTCTCCCCCTCCCTCTCCCTCTTCTCCTCCCTCTACCTTCCTGTCTAAAGATCAAGAAAAAATCATGAAAAAAAGAAATTCCTTCATTTAATTACTTGTTTTATTAAATTTGTATTATTTCATCCATTTTAAATTCTAGAACTTAAAGCTTGTCTTTAAAACTTTTGGAGTATGTTGATCTGATCTGAAGCCCTGGTTTTGCTGCTTGCCAATAATATAACTATGGACAAATTAACAAATTGCTTATGTATTAAACCTCAGTTTCTTATAATTAAAAAGAATTAGTAATAGCCTCATAGTATTGTTGTGAGCATTGAGTGGAATAATAAATATAAAGAGCTTAGCACAATTCCTGGCACAAATAGACTGTCTCACAAGTGTTTACTGTTGTTAATATCATGCTTGTTATTATTAGACACCCTCATCATGTGTTATTTCTCTATCAGAGTGAAGATATTTTATAGAATGAAGGATGTGTGCCAGAATTTTTTGTTAAGTCTGAACAGAGTACATTTAACACGTTAAAAATATGAAAATAATATCAACAAGATGTATAAATTTTTTCCTGATATTAAAGGTTTATGGAATGCAGTGATTATTCCCCGTTGATGCCCTTGTTGGTCATACTGATAAAAGCGTTTTAAATGTTAGAGATCTGACTTCTTCTAAAAGACAGACTTTTGAAAGACATGATGTTGATCAGTATTTCTATAGGGTTATGCTATATTTTTAAATGACTAGAAACAAAGAAAGACTTGTCAGTTCTGATATTCTAAGAGAAGCAACAGAAAGTAAAATTTTGAAGAGAATGGTTTCCTGTGATAAAACATGGTATCTCCAGTGAGATTTAGAAACTCAGAATTAAAGTTCAGAATATAAAACTAACCACTTGGAGGCTTATTGAAGCAAGAACTTCACACTCACAATTGAAGATAACGTTGATTAGTCATATACTCGGTCCTCCTCATTCATGTTTTGTTTTTTGTTTTTTCTGTCTAAGAATGTCTTTTTTATTAAGTTTATTGGCGTGACATTGGTTAATAAAATTATGTAGGTTTCAAGTGTACAACTTTATGACACATCATCTGTACAGTGCATTGTGTGCCCACCACCCAAAGTCGAATCTTCTTCCTTCGCCATATATTTGACCCCTTTACCCATTACTGCCCCCCAACCCCTTCCCTCTGGTAACCACCCTACTGTTGTTGGTGTCTATGAGTTTCTGTTTGTTTTTCTTGTTTTTTGTTTGTTTGTCTGTTTTTCTTGTTTATTTATTTTCAGTTTTATATCCCACATATGAGTGAAATCATGGTTCTTGACTTTTTCTGCCGGACTTATTTCACGTCTTGATAACTTTTGACAGAGTGGGCCTTTGTTTCTTCCTGAAACTCTCCTCATGCTCTCTGGAACATTGGTCTTGGCCCCTCTTAATTTCATACCTATTCACTTTCTGTTTCTTTTCCTACCTCTTTGTTGGTATTTCTAAATAATTATATATTTGATCTTTTTTATCTTCTCACTCTTTGAAGTCTTTCCATTCTTATGACTTTATCACTGATGATTCCTCAAATTATCCAATCTAAACCCTTTTCCTTCTATTCCTTCAGTAAATATTATTCTGAGCCAAGTGGCAAAAATAGGTTCCACACTCTCTCAGATTTTGTTTTCAGAGAAGAAAACAAGCCGTGATCATATTTATGCTCTTCGAAAGTGAGGCACGAGACCCTGCAAAAGCGCATGAAAAGCCTTTACCTGCCCTCAAGCTCAGGGAGGCAGGGAGGAGCCAACAGAGGGAGCAGAAAGAGCAAATGGTGGTGTGGTTGTGAGATTGGTTATATTGAGCAAATAAGTACATCGATTAAGCAAATATGGAAAAAATACTGAACATCATTAGAGCTGGTTTCTCACTGTTGGAGAAAATGGAGGCATAGGAAGGATGGAGGCTAAAAATAGTTCTGAGGTATTGGATTGGAACTGGAGGCGTCGAATCGGCGTTGGAGAGTGAATTTTTGGTATGTGTATACACTGTACAGAGAGAGGAGGGATTTCAGTCCCGGATGTAGATGTGTGTGCATATACACATACGCATGTAGGCTTTCAAGCTTAGAGTCTACTGAGGGGGCCTGAAAGCAGTTCATCCAGCTAGTAATTCACACTCCTGAGAACCCAGATCCCGAGACCTGCACCCCGTTCCTCATCCTCACTAGGGGGAGTCAGAGCCCTTTGGGGAAAAGACTGATTCCAGATCTAGGCCAGGAAAAGTATGAGATGAACTGGGAACATCGGCCAGTAAGGAAATGCTCAAAATATGATGAACATTTATGAATATTAAGGTAAATGATGATAGTAATAGGTTACAACCCATATAATAGGAACCCATAAGTCTATACTAAGTAAATAAGAAAAAAGGAAAGCTTACCCCTACAGTTGGAATACCAACTTATAAGCCTAGAAAGAGTCCATTTGGCAACTATCATAGTGCTTGGGAGTTGTCAGTGGATGCTAAGGCTGGTGGGTTGATAAACGATGATGAGGAGTGGGATATTGACAATCTTGGATAGCTCTAATACTAAAAGTAATCAGTTACCAGGGGGAAACAGAATTATGGTATAGAAACAATCAGATGATAAAAGTCAGTATCACCAATAGTGGGATCAGTCAACATTATGTGCTCTCTAATGTAATCACTGAGAAGAGCATAGCACCATGTATGGGGTGGAGTATTCCTGATAATATATATATTAGCTTTGTCTAGGTCAGGAGGAGACATCAGATCATCCTGTAGAATTTAACACTCATTCTTTGTGAAACTGTTGAGGACATGATAGGGAAAGGCTAAGGAATTATTACTGCTTGGAAGAGCATGAAGAAGCATGACAACTAAATGCAACATGAGTTCGTTAAGGACCTGGTCCCAGAAAGAAAAGAGAAACATTGTGGAGACAAATGGCAGAGTCCGGATGACACCCGTGGCTTGGATGGTAGTGTTGTATCACTGTGGATTTCCTGTCTTGAGGAGCTATGTTGTGGTTATGTAAGAGAACAACATCCTTGTGTAGAGAACTACACTCTGCAGTACTTAAGGGTGATGGAGGCGTAGTGTCTGCAACTTGCTGTGAACTGGTTCTGAAAAAGACTTAAGGAGAAAAACAGAGAGAAAGAGGAGGAGAGAGGGCCAAGGGGCAGATGTGAAATGTTAATAGTGGGGCAGGGCAATCTTTGTCAGGTTATATGGAAATCTTTGTACTATTTGTGCAATTTTTCTGTAAGTTTGAACTTTAAAAAAACACTTATACATGTTTTAAAGTAAATAGAAGGAAAATTTATCCAGGCTGGGTTTGTGGGAAGGAATTTTGTTAGGAAGGGATCCCTAAACTGGGACCTAAAATATGTCAGCAACAGGCACTCACGGGTCTGTGAGCTCCTTGAGAGGAGAGATAGTTTAGTTTTAGTTTTATTTTGTTTTATTTTTGATTGTTGACAATTAGATATTATTGCTGATTGAATGCATGAAATGAAAAAAATGAAAGAAATTTGGTATGGCTGGAAATTAGAATGTCAGTGTGGCAATGGCAAGAAATTAGTCTGGAAAGGTAAACAGGAAATAGATCCTCCTGTAGGAACTCAATAAATATGTATTAAGTGTGTTTGTAAGCAAAAAAAAAAAAAATTCAAGTAATTATAAAAATGGCTTGAGAAATGGCAGCTCTCTACTGTATCCCAAGTGATCTAGATAATAAATTCTTTAAGATTAAATTTCTTTGAAATACTTGAAATTTTTAACTAATTGGATAAGATTTATCCTGCTTTAAGTTAAATTAATGCATCTTTATAAATTCTTGCCAACTGTCAGGATTATGTACGTATGTGTCTATATACATACTTCTTATGAGCAACGGGCTTAAACCACCTGTAGCTTCCTTAGGCTCTGGGAGCTGCTCGGACAGCTGCAGAGCCGGGCGGCTCCGTGTGCATCCAGCGTCGCGCCCGCATAAATAGGCCGTGTCTGTTAATCTTCTTTCATTCTAGTCCTTTCAATACAACCAAATGGTTTGAACCTAATTTCAGTATTATTTTTATTAATAGTTTCTTAGGGAAAATGTGACTACAAAAAAATATATTCATTCACCCCTTGGCGTTTTAATACCGCTGCTCTTGCAATCCCAGATGAATAAAACAATCTTTAGAAACAGAGCTTATATTTAAGAAGGAAAATCACTTATCTCAGTACCCTTAGTAAATTAATTTGGAGCAGAGGCATTATGCTACTTAAGAAGATGTAGGACAATTTTTTGCCTAGATATTTGTTCCCCCAAATTACCTATTTTGTTTGCCACAAAATTGGGCAAAAGAGAATAATTTTAGAACTAAGAACTTATATTAGATATATAGACCTATAAAATTTATATATGAATGTGAAATATAACAAATCTTACAAAATACTGAAATGCATTCTGTAATTATAGGAATTTTAAAAGAATTGTTAAAGCCCTTATTTTATAAATATTTACAATATTGCTTTTTTATTTTGTTTTACTAAATATGCTAGGCACTTGGAGGTGTCCCAGGAAGTCAGCCATTACTTCCCAGTGGGATGGACCCAACTCGGCAACAAGGTGACTATGTCAAAGTAAAAGTGAAATAGGTGTGCAGAATCTCAAAGGAGATCTTTTATTCTCTTAAGGTGTTTTTTATTTGAATAAATGTTCCATAATTATACCAACTGCATTTTTGCAGATAGCATGGCCAGGTGATTTATATTTTTAGCTAACTCTTAATTGTACATAATGACAGTGATGACATAAGAAACAGAATAATTAAGTACCAAGCAGAGAGGAGACTACTAGCCTCTGGTGTAGCACCATGCTCATTACACAGCTAATACCTCCCTGTTTTTTATTTTAGGACATCCAAATATGGGTGGGCCAATGCAGAGAATGACGCCTCCGAGAGGAATGGTGCCCTTAGGACCACAGGTAAATAATCAGAGAGCAGATGCTAAATTTTTCGCCTTTATTTTATGCAAAAATAGTCTGTTATTTCCTAGCTTTTGTTGTATGCATTGAAGGCTTGATATAATATGGTTGTTAGGCTCTTGAAAACATAATGTCTGTGACATGTACAAATTGATATAGCAACGAACCATATTTATAGGTGCTGTCACACGTCTGTTCAGTACATTTGAGAAAATACATTATAGTAATTATTATAAAAAGATAACTATTACCCTTTTGTTGGTTATATTGAGGAAATATAAAAATTTTATAGAAAATTATTATAGAAGATAGCAATCATGTAAGTTAAATGATTAAAAATATTAAATAGAATAAGCAGTGTAAAATATATTTCTGTCTTTTGGAGAATGTCATTGACAATTTATTTTACACTACCATATTTCTTTAGAGAATATGGAAATAATAGAGAATCATTTAAAAATAACCATTAAAAATTGATCTTGCTGGACAAGCATAATGCTGTCAGTATACATCAGATGCTAGCTTACTTTTCTATCAAAATTTCCCAGAAGTATACACTGAGGTCAAATCTATCCTGGCTGTCAGTGACATTTTTTAAGTGTACTCTTCCAGAATTTCATTTATTTTTACCAAAATATATTTTTGTCTCCCTTGGGAAAATAGCATGGGGTAGAAATTAACTTTATAATGTTATATTTCAAAGAAACTAATCCAATATCCAGAATTTAAAATTTCTACCTCATGGATCAGAGGTTAGCATGTCATAACACTGGTTAAAAGAATGAATTAATTTATTTTATTTTTCCTTTCCAAGAACAGCATTAGTGACAGTTTTAGGAGCTTGTTTCATGTATCTACTTTTAAAAAATTAAATTAATATTTTGTTGTGTGCGCAAAGGAGTCAGAGAATTAGAATCTAACCCCAGATGATGTGGCTTAGGCCAAGGAGTTTCTAACATATAATAATGTATATATTAACTATATTGAAACATGAAGTTCATATAACCTAATTTTTCAGAAATACCGTATTACATGGGGAAAAACACTATATAAATAACACTCAGAAAAATAATTTCTTTCATTCAGTCTCAGTCTTATGTCTTATTCTTAAGATCTTATAATACTCTTAATTTTGATATCTAAATTATTTTTCCCTGTTTCTACTCGTTAGAGATAATAATTTATGTGACCAACCATCATTAAGCTATTAATAGCAATTAGAATTCATAAGATCTATAGGATATTTCATTGACTGAATATACAGAAGTCTTTAATAAACTAACTAACTAATGAACTAAGCCAACCAATTTGGCTACACAGAACTTGAAGGCTTTTTTTCCCCCTAATTATTTTCATAATTAGATATATTTTAAACATACATCAAAACTTCATGCCTATAATTTAACAGTCTTCATTCAGTTCACTTATTTTTCAGGTAGCTGCTCTTTAACCTTTTGTCATTCCTAGACCAATATTTTTAACATTTTAAAAACTAGAGTCAGTTTTGCAGTATCTGAAAGACATACCACTACTTACCTAGGTTATATGAACACTTAGATTTCATTTGAAAATGCAGAAATAAAAAGTATACTGGTCTATGTTTTGTTTTCTGAATAGCTGTATGTTTGTTTTGTTAAGTTAAAAACACAAAGTAAGATAACATATTTCTGGTGAGTAATCTCTTATTGATCAGTTTTAATAAGTAAGTTTATCATACAAGTGTGGATTCTTTCTTTGCATATTGAAACCCAAAGAGAGTAGTTTATTTCTTCTATTTGGATTGGTATCCTTGCTATCTATTTCTATATAACTTGAGGGAAATAAAGTGTTTTGTGTGAGTTTACCTCAGAAACCAGAAATACCTCTACACACTTTGTAAAATCACAGCATATAAAGTGTAGAAGGCTAAAGAAAGTATTTATACATATTATGTACTTAAATGAAAACAGGAATCATATGAATGATACAATAGGTAAAAAGTGAGGTAAAATCATTTGGAATGGGGAATTTTTGTGAGATATTTACTCATAACACCTGGTTATGAGTAAACTGTGAAATTTTTAGTAAAGGTTAGCTGTGTTTCTTGAAAGAAAATAGGAAAACAACTTTCATAACAGACATTTAATCATTCAGATGCCACCTGAGAGTGGAATGCACCTGCTATTTGTAGCTAAATTATAGAATCAGTCTCTGGAATATTGTCTCTGGCTTTATACTCAAACAAAATATACATCCTGTTCTTATCATAGATATTTCCATTATTTTATATATATATTTTTTTATTGTCTTAGAGAGAGGAAGGGAGAGTGGGAGAGAGAGATAGAAACATCAGTGATGAGAGAGTCATTGATCGGCTGCCTCCTGCACGCCCCCTGCTGGAGATCGAGCCTGCAACCCAGGCATGGGCCCTGACTGGGAATCAAACCTTGATCTCCTGGATCCTAGGTCGATGCTCAACCACTGAGCCACGCCGGCCAACTCCATTATTTTTTGAGCTTAAGATCTGTGTAGTGAAGAGGGACAGTTTTTATCTATTGGAACAATTTACTTAGTAGAACAAAGAAATATATGTTGTCTAGTGATTCTTAGATAATGCCAATTTAGGCAAAATCCACCTATAGGACAATAGTAAACATGCAATTAATATTTATTGCATGGATGAAGAAATTAAAGTTTGTTCTAAATCCTGGCATACTTTCCCCACCTATTAATCTGTTTTAAATCTAAGTTTAGTGGTAATACGTGATTTTTAAAATTGATATCATATCTTTTCAATAGAAAAGTAAAATTGTCTATTTAATCAAGAAAAATGTCTTCCCTAATACCAAATTTAAAGTCATTTTTCTACTTGCTTTTGTGCTAAGATATACTTAGCTTGCCTGTGTTCTTATGCTCTGAGGGTGTCCTATAATAACATAAAAATTCATCAAGACCACCCAACTATTTCTAGCCCTCTAGAAATCTAAAGGATAAATGAGTTACACGCAAAGGAAAACATACCATGATTTCCAACTCAGATACTTGAGGTGGAGACGTGGCAAGATGGAAATATGCGATCGGCTCTCATGTAAGGAGAGAGTAAACGGATTTCTGTATTTCCAAATATAAGATGGGAGGTAGGATTCAGTTCAGGATAAAGAAGACATTTCTAGAAATTAAACTGCCCAGTCGTGGAAAACCTCTTTGTAAACTTTCCAGGCAGAGCCTGAAGTGCCGTTTTGTCAGGAACATTGCATTGGGAGCGAGACTGAGCCAGATGGAATTGTATAGCTGCCATCAACTTGAAAATTCAGTGATTCTAAATTAGCTCTTTCTATTCTGCCTTGGTTGATACCACTTGGAAAGCCAGTTGTTGTTCTTTCTTATATTCCTGTTTTCCTTTTGCTTCAGATTATTTACAAAATGTAAATATTTTATAAAGCTACCAAATTCTGTATCCGATCCTTTCTCCCTCATTCCCTGTGACTCTTGAGCACTGGGTGTAGAAAGGGGAGGAAAACAGACTCGCCCTCGCGGCGCGCCTCGGTTAGCGGGAGGTGCGGAAGCGGAGGGGGAGCTGCTGTGCGGCAGGCAAAGCCTAGGGGAGAGACGCGCTGTCGGGAGCCTGCGCGAGCCAGCTCAGTAACCCCGCTGGGTCGGCCGAGAGGAGCTGTGGGTCGGGGCCTCACTGAAGGCTGGCTCCTTCATGGGGACAAGAAGGAGCTCCAGCTAGACCTTTGGAGCCCCGGTAGCATGCTCTTTACACACCAGGTACTGTCGCAGGTGTTTCATTGGCTTCAGTTAAACTCCCGCAAGCCTATGAGGGGAAAGGTATTATCACTTCACAGATGAGGAAGTTAAGGTTGAGCGGATCTTTGCGACAATCACTGGCCCAAGGGCACACATGCAGGAGGAGGACCGGAGGAAACGGGGCAGGGGCAGCAGAGACCCAAACCAGCACCTGCATAGGTCCAGACCTGTCAGGAAGACGAATGTTTTCCTTGATAATACAAAACACAGATCTTCTAAGGCCAGAGCTGAGGGGAGACACTCGTCGTGAAGCACCCCTGTCATCCTTGGCCGGTCAGACCCTGTTCCCAGGGGCATTCTTCTGAGACTCTGCTGACACTGTTGCCGCCTCCCCCACGCTGCGTCCACAGGTTAAGGGAAATGGCTGTTCTTTCAACCAATGACTCAAAATGTAGACAGAAACCACTCTACTACCCTATAAGCCACAAAACCAGGATGTTTAAATAAGATTTCCTGAAAGTAAAACATAAAATAGCACATGAGTAAATTATTTATGAACTGTGGCTTACCCTCTGGAGTTAACAGACTTCCCTTGTTGAGCATTTCCCTGTCATCTTAGCACCTGCGACACAGAAGGCCACAGCACACGAGTTAACATGAGTGTAAATTTGTATTGCTTGTTTCTGAACCGCAGCTATTCAGTAGGTTGCAGGATGCAGTTGGAATGAGGGGAAGAAGGTAAGAATTACAGGCAATGAGGGCAGGAAACATGGGCTGGGCCGATCTGTGAATACCTCATAGAGCCATGCTGAGGAGACTAGTCTTTATTTGATAGGCAGTGTGGTCATTGTGGCTTTTAAGTGACCTGAAGAAGACTAAGTTTTAGAAGCAGGGTTCCAGAGGGTAGTATGGAGAATAGATTGGGAGGGGCACACGCTGAGGCAGAGACCAGCGCGGACAGTAGAGTAGTCCCAGTGGCTGGCGCGCAGGAGTGACACGGAGAGCCCTGCTTCAAGAGCTGCTGCACACGGAGCACCCAGAGACTGACTCGCTGAGAGAAAAGGAAGACGCGTCACGGCTCCTAGAGGCTCTTGGCCGGGACGGCGTGTGAAGGTCATGCTGCGGGACTGAGGAGGCAGCGTGAGGGAGTCAGGAGAGACCGGTCAGGGCTCTTTCAGTCGCGTTGAGCATAACGTGGTACCCAGATGGAGACAAGTCATGCGAAGGTCAACATATTCCTACCAGAGTGAACTAATGATAGCAGATAAAATTACCCATAAATGTGCATTTATTGAAATAATAATTATCATTAGAATATTCAAAAATGCTATTGCTAGAACATTGAAGAAAGCACCACTTAAAGAGTTTGCAAAATAAAAGGAGCCAGCAAAGGAAACTGAGAAAGAGTAGTCAGGAAACTTTGAAGGAGTAGTGGTGTCAGAAAGCGATGCATGAAAGTGGTTGATGGTGACGAAATATATCTACATGATAATGTTACACTTAACCTTTTGGCCCTATGGAAACTAAAGTAAGCTACTGTGGTGTGCATGTTAAAACATTAAAATCTTTTTATCATTTGAATACACGTACCAGATACTGACAGAAACCTATTGAGTCATGTAATGTATACATACATATTCTGAGTTTACCTTAGTTTTCACATATTTTTGTACATTTGTATTAGTGCATTTCTGTGTTGAATATATTGTGAACTGAAGTTTGCGTTCAACTTTCTTATGTTGGGTTCACCTGGAGATTTTTTTTCAGACTTTATGTAAATGTTCTGCATCTGACAATTTCAAACATGTTGACTAAGCCTTTTCTTTAAAAACAGTCTTGAAATTCGTGAAATGTTTTATTTTTAAAAGTTCACTGTTGTACAGATATTAGGAAATTAATAAAGATATATTAAATATCACTGCAACTATACATTAATCATTTAACATGCTACAATGATCTTACATATTTACATAGTTTTTTAAAGACACAAACCAAAGTAGTTGTTAAAATAGAAGCGAAAGTACAAGAGTGGACCCTTCAGAGAATGAATTGCACAGGCCTTATCCAGTCAGGAGTTGTGTAGGGAAATCATTAACCTGCTCTCCTTTCTTTCCCCCCTCCTCTTTGGTTTTGTTTTTTTGTTTTGTGGTAGTCTGACCCTTGGTTATCATTACAGAACTATGGAGGTGCAATGAGACCCCCACTGAATGCTTTAGGTGGCCCTGGAATGCCTGGAATGAACATGTAAGCAACACGCTGTATTATCCTATTTTCCGTCTCGGAAGTCACGCTTGTCTGTAAAACGGTTCGAGCTCTTCAGTCTCGGGGTAGCGTAAAAATGGACTACACGTGAGCGGTGGTGTCGGCTTCATTTTCAGAACATATTCGCTGTGGTTTTCTTCCTTCCATTGCAACCTTTAATTTTTTTCCCATTTTCAGATGCCAGAAATGCCAACTTTTAGCCTGTTTCTTTTTATATTTTATTGTCATAAAAAGGAGTTTTTTATAAATAAGCACACTGTCTCCAAGTCGTCTGTACGAAAGTGTGAAGAGATGCTGCCGCCAGCATCACGTCTTAACTACAGAAGTGAACAACTGAACGTTGGTAACTTCGTTTTGCTAGGTACTAGGGATTCCTAAGGGTGGCGATTTTAGCTCTTCTCCATGTGTCTTTACTTTTGCTTTGTTGGGCCCACTCTCAACACAGGAAGAATTCTCTCTGGTAGTATCTTCTATATTTGAGAATTTCCATGGTATAGGATGAATTCCCTTTTGAAAACTCAAGATGTACTTAGATGAGGAATAGAGTTTGTGTTGTTTTTTATTGCTGTTTTCTGAAAAGGCCTTTCAAGCCCAAAGACAGTAGGTTGTTTCTTTCAGCCACCATAATGAAGTTGGTTAAGGAATTATTATTTCTTTTGTATTATCTAAGTTGCCCTCAAAGTTCCATGCCAGGTGCTTGTTAGTGACTTTATTTCACTAGAGGATCAATTCCAGGACGTGGCTTACACACATGACGAAGATGTTTACTCTAGGGTGCTGGGTAGTCTCCTCTAATCTAGTTTCCATCCGTCCATGTTTTGGTCACTTACATGTCAAATTAAACAACTCTGCCATCATTTAATGGCACCGAAGATATACTGTGAGATAAGCTCTTTTGATGTACACAGGGATTTTCATGGAAAGCAGTTTTGCCCAAAATAGAAAATAGGTTAATAGGTGGGTATCAGCCAGACTGAAAACTAAGAGAACAAGGGAAAAAGTAGGTCAATGTCTCCTGTCACATCTTTTCACTTTTAAAGTAAAAATGGATAATAGACATGAAGTCTAACTTTTCTTAAGTTCCTCAAAGGCTTAGCCTTTATTAATGGTTGCTACAAAAAGGAGTGAGTGATATTTTGTGCTGATATCAAAGCTGGAGCTCTTACCAGTAGGATTTAGATATGTATATAAAATTTACCTACCTAAGAGTCTGACTTTAAAATGCAATAGCTTTAAGGAGTATACATTTTAAATACCATGATCAATCCAGAATTATCATTAAGCATTAAGAATGTATCTAATATCACTTTATATATTACTCTTCATTATAATTAAACACATATAATCATGAGAAGGAAATAACTGCGTAAGTTGTCTAGTTCCTTTATTACTTGCACTTAAATAGATATATATGGGTACATTTAATTCCCTAGATTACAGAAACTAAAAATATGGCTGAAAATTTAAATGTAATTATTTTTGTTTTGTCGGGTTTCTCATTTAAATATACCCAGGTACTTTAAAATATTTTTATTATATAGTATTTTACTACTTATATAATTTCTGGTGTTTAAAGATCCTTTAAGCCTTACTATCTCAGATTTCCATTATTTGTTAGTATTGACTTTTATTTGGTGCCCTATGTGATTTTCAGTTTTCTGTAAATTAGGATTCCTTCAAGGACAGTGAAAATGTAAATATGTACATGTTTACACTTGTGAACATGTCCCTCTAACAGGGAAAGTTCTGATGTATGGAAGATCAAACCAGAGAGAATAATTTTTATATTAATACTGGCCCCAAAAAAGCAAAAGTGAATTTAAAGAGACATTTAAAAAACATATTATTATCTCCACTGTACCCAATAGGGTAAACTTTATTGAAATTTATTTCATAATTTATTATCTTTCAAACGAAGTAGATCTTACTGTGTTACAGCAAATAAGTATTTCTTACTGGTATTTGTGGCTTTCTTCATATAACTTTTTTACGTGTTGGGTAACCTAAAATGAAAGGAAATGGCATTATAATACTATTAGCTTAAACTACAATTTTAACAGTCTAAGATACTTGAGTGTTGGATCGGGAGGGACCTGCTAGAGAATCATTATCTGGATGGGTTTTCTTTAGCTTTATCACTTTTTCTTATTTGCCAGGAAAGTTTAATGACAATGAAAAATACCAAACCCTCGCCACTAAAGTAATTAAATACTGTATTTTAACTAGTAATTTTATCTCTTTATTGAAGAATAAACCATTTGGAATAGAATTTGAATAATTTTGTTATTAAAAAATATCGGTCGCCTCCAAAAAATGGTTATTCTGATATAATTTTTACATTTCATGCTCTAAACTTAGGGTAAATTATATATAGTATCATCTAAAAATTAAATGATGTATACTTTTATTGGTTCTATAACTAGTATATCTTTAGAAGTAAAAACTTAATGTCAATTTCAGTAATTTGAAGTAGAATTTACAAACCACAGCCACAGTGTAAATGTTTTCAAATGCATTACAGATTGTTTTTAAAAGAAACTATATTTTTAAGTTAATTATATTTTTACAAATTTCCAAAGAATTTAGGACTCAGCATTAAAGCACATCTAATGCAATGTTGTATATCTTGGTATTTTATAGAAACTAGGGATGAAGTATTTCAAAGGATCTAGACCTTCTTGTTCTAGGTCATATCTTACAGAATCATAAAGTTTGTGTAGTTATTTTCTGGAAATAAAATGACTGTGAATTACAAAAGAAAAGAGGATTTTTCTCCAGGGTAATCACTGGTTGCTTTGATTTCATCATATCCATACACTCTTACCAAGAAACACAGACTTCTTTTAAATTCCATTTTTCTCTTGATTTTTAAATGAAGCTAACCTTTATTCTACTTCAAACTATATTTATATAGCAGTTTTCATTTGAAATAATGCCTATGTTATACTTCGTAGGTTATTTTCTTGATGACACTGGTTGCCCTCAAAAGTAGTAGTAATTACTGAGCTTAGTGGTTGTTCTAATAGAACTACTCACTACTATAACACCTACTTTATTTAGCACTTTTATAAAACTTAAAATGTTTTCAAATATAGTGGCAGATTTGGGGAACTTTAGTTTATCCATTTGAATTCTTAACCAATTATATTAAAATGCAATTTAATATGAAATACATAGTGTGCTGAGATTAGATTAGTATTTGTCAAATAATTGAAATGCACGAAAAGTATTTTGTTACTTATAATAAATTTAACATTTAACATTTAATTTAAAGTTATTTTAATTGTTATTTATTTAATTAAGTAAAATGTTTAACATTTAATTTAGCATGTTAATGTAAAAAACATTTTAAAATAACAAAATATTTTACTATTTTTAATATATTTTATTCATAGTTTTTATTTAAACATAAAATATGATATAATGGTATACAAATTTTTTGTCATTATGTGGATATAGTATATTTTTATGTTGTTTTAAGATAAATATTTCTCAATTTCTTCATTGTATTTTATTTAACATCAAACAAATCATATGGATTAACAACAAACAAGTCAAATGTTTTACCTGAACAACATATATCCTATGTTTTACCTCAGTTTCTGTCCATTAGGACATTTAATCCTATGTGAAAAATCATCTTCCTAAAGTGTTCCAGTAATTAATTATAAAATCTTCATCGTCACCACCGTCATGATCTAGAGAAGCAGCAGTTTCCCGAGACAGCACAAGTTCCCCACCCTCTGTGCGCAGTGCTTGGACCAAGCCCCTCTGGCATCTTATTTTCCCTTCTCTCCCTCGAGCAGAGCTGGGAGCAGTCACACTGGGCCTCTTAGTGGAGCCCAGGGGCAGAATTTGCAAGCCCTTCGCTGTTTACATCGCCGAGGAATCCCACAATAAAAACCAGTTCTCAATATTCTGAGCAAAAATGGATAGTACAGCCAACTTGGACAGCATCTAGCTAACATTTAGAACTCTAGGTTTAAGGTCCCTACAGTAAGAATAAGGGGACTTTTTTTTTAGTTAAATATTTTCACTGTGGTTAGAAGGAAAGGGGAATTTTGAGTGACCCTAACTGCAGAGGACTGGCTGACAGTCGTCTACTTTTTACCAGGCTGTATTTATTCAGGTATACGTAATATTAAAGCACGAGAGCAAGGGGTCTTTCCGACTTAATTAGGCATTAACTTTGTTTTTAAACTTTCATGTTCTTTTAAGCTATGGAATGTAAATCATTCTCCTTCACCCTAAAATTAAGTAACATATTGACATACATTGGCACAGGTTACCTCCTATTTTTCCCAAGATTTACTCTAGCCACTGTGTTCTAACAATTATTACAACAAAAAATAGGATTCCCTTGTTTACTAGTAACTAAAGTGTCAATATCACTGAAAGATAGATTGATATATAAATGTATAACATAATGTGTGATAATCTGCAATTTTTTTGAACAGAGAACAAATTTAGACACCTTTAATGTACATTTGTTTGTAGCTTAAAAAGAACAATCGTTTTTATACATTAGATATTTTACACATAATATTATTTTCATTTTGAATGAGATGAGATAGTGGGGGTACTTATGTTGATGTCATAAGATTATACTTTATAGTATTTATTTCATAATTAGTACTTTTTACTCCAATAGTGTGTTTTTATAAAGATTTAGGTATATGTATATATTTACTGCTATGGGTGATTATGACTTTTAGTCGTTATTACAATAACAACTTATAATATCTGGGCTTATTAAAAGTAGTTTGATTTGGAAAGAAAATTGTTTTGTGAAATGATTTTTTTTTTTTTCATAATTTACAATCCCTATATTTTTTTGTTGTTCTCAGGAAAAGTGAAAAATGTTCTTAGCTAACACACTAGAAAAAAAAGAAAAAGCTGTGAAAATAAGTATAAAGAGAGTAATTTCATTGTTGAACTAGAACTTCATGGTTACTACATTGTAAATGTTGGTATTTTATGATTTGTTATTGCTTATTGTGAGACATTCAAAGCATAAGTTAAAATTTTATTTAACATATTGTCTTGTAGGGGTCCAGGTGGTGGTAGACCTTGGCCAAACCCAACAAATGCCAATTCAGTGAGTATTTTTTAATGATCTTTGCACTTATTTGCATTTAATAACAAAAATCTTTGCTTTTGAAACACCTGCAGTTGATTATATTAATCTTTTTAAAAAAGTAATCATTCAGTCTGGCCAGTGTGGCTTAGTGGTTGGGCATCGACCTATGATCCAGGAGATCCCCATTTAATTCCCGGTCAGGACACATGCCCAGGTTGTGGGCTCAATCCCCAATAAGGGGCATGCGAAAGAGAGCAAATCGATGACTCTCTCATCATTGATGTTTCCCCCTCTCTCCCTCTCCCTTCCTCTCTCTGAAATTAATAAAGATATATATATTTTAAAAGTAAACATTCAAAAATGCGTATCTTGTATATATCCTTTTAAATATTCATAACTAATTATTTCACTTCTAGGTCTGTGTAAACAGGCAATCTATGTAGATTAACAGACCTTCAAAAATAAAGATAGAAGTGTGATTTAAGTATATTACAGTAACATATTTATCATAAAATGATTTATTATAAAATGATTTGATCTTCTAAAATAATTCTATAATCACTAAGTTGTCAGATGAGGTCAATCTCAATCAGAGTTATTAGGATTATATGTTCTATACTAGTTACACCTACGTTTGGTTTCTTTCCGCCCCAGGAGGCAAGTATCCATTTGCCTTGGGCCTGTTGGCTTACAACCTTAAATTAATATGATTTTCATTTAATGATCCTGGAGATGTTTTTCCTTCTTGACTTTGAAGTCTTGTGTTCTTCATTATGTGAGCGAGGTGTGCTCTGTCCGTATGGGTAGTGTGTGCACTGCACAAAGGTGCCTGAATCAAGGTAGTCAGTAAGGAGCTGAAGTCCAGCTTATGAAGTCTGTGAATATCTGTCCAGAGGGGATGCCTTTTACTGACATGCACTGAGATTCCTTCATTGGCTATCAGTGGCCTTAATGCCAAATAAGCATGACACTGATCAATGTTTAATGTTAATTTAAACTCCAAGAAAATTTTAAGTGAGGTGTGTGTTATATAGGAAGAATCATCCTAAATCCATTGCTATTCTGAAGCAGAAATAACTTCCTTCTCAATTAAGTAACTGCATATTTTAGAGAGAAAAAGTAATTCATATTACCTCCGTTCCTCTTAGTTTCAATAACTATGGCATTTGCTAATCAAATAAAATTATTTGAGGGGGAGAGAAGGATGTCGCTTCCATTCAGCTCTTCAGTGTACTATTTCATCTCAACAAATCTTCTTTCTAAGATACCTTTTGCCAGATTATGTTATAATGTGAGTATCTTTATTCCTCCAAAAGTCTTAGTTTGCTTATATGCTTTTGAAGAATTCACACTTCTAGCTGCTATATGCCTTTCAAATACATTCAAGATTTCACTTTAAAATGGCATCTGACTAGCAGCTCAAAATATAGTTCTTTCCACTCCCTATTAAAGTATCCATGAAGATACAGAAAAAAACAATTTTTTTTATAACTCTGAAAACTCTGACAATCTTCCTATTGCCAGAGTCTGGAAAAAAGTTTATGCTATTTGCATGTTTGATAAAATTGGATTAGAAAGCACAATTGATGGCCCACCATAACTATGTAAGTCTTCCCACCTACAAGCAAGAAAACTCGTCTCTCCTTCCTCACTGTCAGCTCAGCCAGCCGCCCCTCTCCTGCGCACGGCAAGCAGCCAGAGTGCAGTTCACACCCGCCACTGCCCACCTCCAGCAGCACTTCCATTTATACTCATCTGGAAACTCATCCCCCAGAAGCGACTGAGGACACTGGGCGGGATCTGACATTGAGGCCGGGGCATTGTACCCAGTGGGTGTACTATGGGCGTATTCGAGGCAGAGGTGAGGAGAGAGTTGCGCACTCCGAGGACTTTTCGTTTGGGCGCCTCCATCTCTTCAGGATTTCATTAGAGCCCAGGTACTGTGTCGGGGCAGCGGCCCTGTTATTTAGACCCTGGCAGACACTAGGCATTACAGTAGGAGCTGGGCACACCACGCCGTTGCCAGCGGTCGGTCTACAGTAGGCATTTGACCAGCGTGCGTGTGGGCAGTAGCGGAGTTGAAACGGTCCCTTCCGTTAATATATGTCGCAGGTGGGTACAGCTTCCCTCACTCAAAAAAATGTGCGTAGGGAATCAAGTGCGGAAAGGCCTACAGTTTTCTCCTCAGAAAGAGAACGGGATCTTCATCCAGAGAACGGGAAGGAAAAAGATTTACATGAGAACAAGAAAAAAATCATAGAAAACTGATGACTTTCTAGCAAAAACACAGGGTTTACATGAAACCAAGCAAAAAGTATTAAAGAGGGATTCCCCCCCCCCCAATATCACTGATTCTGTTGTAGTGACAACTCATCTGTATTATTTTGAATTACAAATTTCTTAGGCTTCTTGTCTATATTTAGCAACAAACACTTTTCATTTTGTACCCATACTGAAAGTCTCTAGTTCCTTGGGGCAGCATATTAAAGTGGTTGTTTGTTGTGTTGTGCTGTTTTCAAGTGTTTTACATACTGTTTTCTTCTTTTAAATGTTTACATTGAAGTAACTTCAGATTTGTAGAAAAGATGCAAGAAGAGCACAAGGAGATCCCATATGCCCTTCGCCCAGATTCCCACGTGTGAAAGACCTGCCACATGCGCTTCACGATTTCCTCTCTCTGCATATACATATATATCCTGAACTATTCGAGTTGTATTTAAATTGTAGACATGATGACCCTTTATCCCCAAACTCTTTGGTGTGTGTTTCCTAAAAACAAAGACATTATCTTTTGTAACCACAGCGTAAGAATCAAAGTAAGGAAATTAACAAAGATGTTATGCTATTTCCTAATCTGCAGTCCTTACTCAGATCTCACCGATTATCCCAACAGTGGCCTCTGTAACAAAGAAAAACCCAGTTCTCTTGTTGCATTCATGTGACCTATCTCTCTGTCTCCTTTAATCTGGAACAGTTCCTCAACTTTTCTTTGTCTCTTTAACCTTGCAGTTTTGTTGAATGCAAGCCAATAATTTTGCAGAATGTCCCATAATTTAGTTTTGTCTGATTTTCCTCATGATTAGATTTGGGTGATGCATATTTGGCAGAAAATGGCACAGAAGTAATCTAGTGTTTTTCTCAGTGCATGATTTCAGGAGGCTTAGGATGGTGATTTGTCCCATTACATGTAATATTAACTGTGATCACTTAGTGCAGGTGGTGCTTGGCAGGCCTCTCTACTGTAAAATTAATTTTTCCCTTTGTAATTATTGACTTGTGGATGCTTTCAGACCTCAGCAGGCACCTTCTTCCTCCTCGGCCTTTCATCTGCTGCTTTCACATCCATTGATGATTCTGGTGAATCGTTGTTTTACTCTGTGGGCTGCCAAATGGCTCTTTGCTAATTCTGTCTGCCCTTTACCGCTTATTGGTTCGCTTTCTACTATAACGAAGAGTTTTTCTTTCTCATTCATTCATTCATTCATTCATCATTCATTCATGTATATCAGGTGTACTTGTGGATTCTTATTCAGTAGGTTTTGTATGCTAAAATTATTCCAGATTTCGTCAGTAGGAACCTCTTCAAGTTGGATCACTTGTTCATTTGACATATCCCCATTATAATCCTTTAAGCATCTCATATTTTCCTAGCCTTAGCCCTGGAAACAGCCATTTCTGAAGGAGCCCTGGTTCCTTTTAGTGGAGAGTAATGCAGTTTCTGGACCTTCCCAACCAGCAGAACCAGGATATCGATGCATGTGTATATGCACACCACACACACCTGTATCTTTCTGTATCTACTTATATATGTTAAAACCACAAGTGCACACCGATGCTTCATTTTCAGTCCAACACAACAGATTTTATTCTAGACTTTCTGCTTTCTATGGTTACAGTTCACTTCTCTGAAAGTGAGGAATCTGCCTACCATTACCCACAATATATTTATTTATTTGGGTAATCTTTATCTATCCAGAGTGTTGTAAACGTGTTTTGATCAAAAATGTTTCTGGCACCCTTTTACATGATAGTAGGAGAAAGAATTTAAGGAAAATTTCATGTTTTTAATTTGAAATAAAAGTATGATTTTTATTTTTAACTTCCTTTAATCTGAGCATTTCAGTGTTGATCTCATTCGTATTTGGAAGTTTATTTACAACTCCACCAAATGCTTTTCCTCTTTTATATTTTTCACAAGGCACTGTGTGCACTTGGGTTTAGCTATGCAGCAAATTCTACTCATTAATAACAAGAACTTTCATTGAAAATATTCTAATTATCTTTGTCTGGAGGCACTTTTAATTAGAAGGCACAGAAAAGTAACAAAACTCTGTTCAGTGTTACTCGATCATGTATCTGAAAATTCCAGATATAAATTTGCTTTCGGCACATTGGGTTCCAAGGATTCAAATAAGTCCACCTGGACCCAGTTCCTGTTCATTGCTCACTTTTGTTCCCCTTGCCATGGCAAGAAGGCTGTGTGAAGCTCCCGCTTTATATCTGCAGAGTTCCCAGTTGAGCACAGTGAGCACAACTCTTTGTCAGTTAAGCACAGGTAGTGGGAACAGCTGACTGAACTGGATTTGCTTCGCTTGATCATGTGCTCATTCATGGGCCAGTTACAACCAGAGGTGCGATGATATATTGCCCAGACCAAGCTCACATGTCCACTTCCTGAGCCCCAGCCAAACCACATGGGAAAATAAGGGAGGTATGGTTCACCAAAGAAAATTCAGGGGATTGTTAGCAGGTGAAGGGACAAGCAAAACAACAAATATTCAACATAGCGTTGGATTCATCAGCTCACTGGCTTGACAGGAAAGAGAAAGCAGAAGCTTCTTTAAGGAAAAAACCCAAAACGAACGTCTACTACAGCTAAGTGGCACACATTAAGCCTAAGTGAGTACGCATGCCCCACTCCAAATAGGTTCTGCTCCGTGCATATAGATGTTCATTAAAAAGAAAGAAAACTAAAAAAATAGTATATATTTTCATCTTTATACTGGCTCATTCATTCTTCCTATTCAGCCTATTTCTTTCCATTGACTAGAATGTTCCTCTAACACTGTGTCAATGAACAAAATCCCAAGACATCCTTAAACCCCTAGTCTTCCACTCCTCTAGAGCTGGGAGGGGGTAGCTGATAGAAAACTACTCTCAACCTTTCCTCAGTCTCAAGACACCATCCCATGTCTCTCTCACTTCCACTGCCTCCCCACCATTTTACTGGACAGGGAATCCCTTGGCCTTTCTGTCTTTTCCATTACTCTCTGTAGTGTAGTGCCTGAAACATAGCAGGTGAGAGATAAACATTTATTGAATTGACTTCCAAACAGTTTCAATTCCATGAAAGTCCTATTCTGAAATTTACTAGTGACCTTCTGTTTACCAGCCAAACACAATGACTTGTTTCCTGTCCTTGTCAGACTTGACCTCTGACATATTTGACATGTGGGTTTTGTTTTAAATGTCTGTTGGTTTCTTTTCTTCATTTTAATAATGTTTCTTTATTTTTCCACATTTTTATTAACATTCCTTTGTGTTATTTATTCTTATATGTGTCACAGAAAGGTTGAAAGGCTTGAGCCTGACAGGACTCAAGAATAAGCCCCGTTTAGGCATTTCCTAGCCAAGCTTCATAAAAGTCTAACTTGCTTGACTTTTGTAAGATATTTTCTCCCAATTTTCCTCTGGTCACATTCACCCTTTCTCAACTGGTAATGTTCTCTAATTCCAACCCTAAGTTTTTTTATTTTATTTTAACATTTTCATGTGATTTCAACTATCACAAAATCTAATCAAATCCTAGATAAAGTACTGTGCCCAGCACAAAGTGGGAGTTTACTCAGCTGAAGCTGTATCTCTAGTGCTAATCTCTGATAAGTTCTAGACCTGTATCTCCAACTGCCTGCTGATCAGATCTTCCTCAGTGTCTCCCGGTGCCTTCAAATACAACATGTCAGACATTTCCCCAAACTTGTCCCCCTTCCTGAGTCCCCTCTTTATAAATCAGTAGCACTGTCATCTACAGAGTCACTAAATTGGAAACCTAGGAATTACCTCAACTTTTCCTTCCCTTGTCCACCTCACCCAGTTTGTCACCAAGCCCTGCCTAGTACATTTGCCAAAAGTCTCAAATTCTCCTCCTCCTACTTATCTTAATCAACATTGCGTAAAACCCTCTTTATCATCGCTTGCCTAGACTTTTTACAATCCCCTCCTAACTTTGTTCATATTTAGTGATGCCTCCAGAGTTATCTTACTGAAACACAAATTTCAATCTCTGTCTAAAACCTGACTCCCTGTGTCCTACAGCTTAAATTCATTCCCATTCTACCATAGACCTCATCATTTATTACACCCCCTACAAGTCCCACACTGCAGCAGCTGTATAAAATCACATAATCATTTTCCTAATAAACTATATACTTTCACATTTCTTTTCTCCCCTTATCTTCCTCCCTCCCTTCCTCCCTCCCTCCCTCCCTTCCCTTCTGTCTTTCATGCTGTCCTTTCTCTTTGTCTTCCTGGTGGTCACCCACTCTCTGTAAGTCTCAGCTGCCCAGGTCAGATATGTCTTCTGTACCCACATATCCTTCTACCTGCACTGTTATATTGTATGTCTCTCACTCTAGCTGTCAGATACTGCTGGTAACTTTGAGGAGTGCAGGTTCAGGAGATGCTAGGGGGAGGAGCCCAAATGCTCCCTTTGTTTTTATGAGGGCATCAAAGACTATGCAGTAGAAACGGCGAGTATAAGCCAAAATTAAGGAGCTCAACAGGGCAAAAATGAAAATAAATTGAACGGCTAGATGAGATAAATTTTTAAAGTATTTTAAATGATTATTAAATTTAACTGTATTTGAAGGAGCCATGAAGCGGGAAAAATTAAAAATATAAAAGGAGCAAGGACTTAGCAGAAATGGGATGGTCAGGAGAAGCTAGCTTTGGAAACAGACAGAAAGATATTTTTTTCTACCTGAGATGAATGGATAAAAATTAAAATCTATAAGTAATAAAGTATTGAGCTGAAGATGAAGGCATAACAAGAATTTGATGCCATTAATGTATAACAGAAGGGCAAGGTACCAACTTAGGATGGTATAATCATCATGAGAGCCAGCTCACAAAAGTCAGTTATTAAATACTCAGGAATTTTGTGAGCTAATTGTTAAATCATTGGTAGCTTAAAATCTGCCATGTGGGAATATTTACACCACAGAAATTAACTACAAAATGGGGCTTCCCTTCCCCCCGAGTTTGCAGGATTTCCTGGCACACTACTGGAATGCTTCAGGGCTCCCATAAAGGCTGAGCCAAAATACTTCCACCTGTTCATGGAGACTAGGCTGAAGCTGGATAACATGATTATATTTGGACCTTGTCAAGCTTGTTTTGTGTTTCTCTCCAGGAAATCCCTGCTGTAAAACAGAAAAGGTAGCTAGGGAGTGATTGCAGGGGTGGAAATTAACAAAGTAGGCTCTAGGATAGTGAATTTAAGACATTAGAGAAAGAAAGAAAATGCTGACGGTGGCATGGGGAGGGGCAGAGGCAATTAAGTAGGAATCTAATAGGAAAAAATGGGTTTAGTAAACATAGAAGAATTGGGATGGGAGAAGATTCTGATTGAAATATAGAATAATCTGTTGTGAACATCATGAGAAATAAGAAAGATGTCAGGCAAGGGAACAGTTTAGGTCTCTGAAGACTTCAAGATGTGGTCGCTCATAAATGGAAGAGAGGGGGTATATTGTGAAGTAAAGGAAGGCAGTGAAGTATAAATTCCACAGATCTAAAGGGTGGTCAGAGTGTACTGTGAAGTTGCTTGGGAATGATGGTAGGCAACAGAGAGGTGGAAGAACGTGAGCCAGTTATAGGGAGATAAAACTTGCAGCCAGTGGGTGAGCAGGCCATTTGGAGAGGCCAGATGTGCAAGTTTAAAATAATACAAAGCTCGGGATGGATAGTATATCATGAACTCAGGAGCCCAAGGGAGCAAAGTTGTACACACTCGCCGAGCTGAGTAATGTTTACTGACCAGTACTCATAGTGGAAGTCATCCCCATCACTGTGATGCTGGGTGCCCTGGTCATGGCATCTGCAGCGCACCGCCCACAAACAGACCAGCCAGAGACCTCGGAGACATGTGGTCTGCACACAAGGCAAACCAAGGACGCCAGTCAATGAGGAGAGTTTTCAAATAACAATATTAAATATTTCCTCAATCAAAGACATATTCATAATGGAAACCCATGGCTTTGTTGTACTTCCTTCTGCTTGCTTTATGGTTTCATAGTATTTTGATGTTTAATTATATGAAGGCGTTGGGTGGAAGGAGGGTCGTGGGTGCGGGCCTATAATCTTTCTAACCTGGCTGTTCAACTGCAAGGAGATAGTAATTTATCGGCTTTACTCAGAATAAGGCAAAAACGTCTTTGGGTGGACAGGATCTTCGTGTAAGTGAGCAAGTCGGCTGTGTGAAGAAAGGAAATATTTGGATTTAACTTTCTCTACTGATACCCACATTCAAGAGGGCTTATTTTTAGATATGTTTTCCAGTTTTTATTTTTAAATTATCATAGCAATGTTATATTAATACCTTTCAATCTCTAGAAAAGAGCTTGGTTTGAAGGGAATTTGTTACCTATATCTAATCCCCACAAATTAGTAGTCTTTGGAGACAGTAACAAAATCTTTTGCATTTATTATTTTCCAGTGGTTAATTAGAAAGCAAGGGGGGAAAGGTGAGGTCTGTATGTCAAGTACTGCATGAATGTAGTACCCTGAAACCTGTCTTTAAGGAAAAAAAATGTGTCTCAGAATGCACATAAATTAGAAGTTGCATCTGTAAAGGCTACTAATTTGAAAAAATCTGGTTTCTAGCTGCACAAATATATATCTTTTTAATTACAGAATAAGTGTCATTAGTACCAAGCAGTGAGTACAACTGGCCCGAAACCAATATAACAAAGCCAGCTGTAATTCTGTCTAAACTCTTCTTGACTAAAGTCTACTCTTTTTTTGTAAATTCAAGATAATGCATTTATTGAGTTTTCTAGCACTCATACAGATAAAAATGCCTTTATCCTTTACTATCCTTTGTGATACATTTTAAAACTTGATAAAAGTTAGAAAATAGATTCATTGTAGGTCATTTTCCATACTGCGGCACATATCAAACTTTTTTTTTTGTCCTGTTCATGTTCCAGATACCATACTCCTCAGCATCTCCTGGGAATTATGTAGTAAGTACATTTGGGTTTCTTTGCTCATAAGAATTGATGTTACGTTTTATTTGGGCAATGAAATAGTTGTCCAGATGTTAAGAAGAGCCCTGTGTATTGGCCAAGACATGAACATCTGATTTGTATTGAGTTGTTTCGTCTGCCAACCTCAGGACATACATTGATGTTCATTAGTGAAACAGTTATCAATCTGGCCAAGATTGCCCTGAGTACTGTGTCTTCCTTTAGCATATGTTTCTGTGAACCAGTATGGTACACTCTGCCCAGTCATGAAGAAAGCCATCCCCAGTCACACCATGATCTGCTTGAATTTGCAGTTCTTCGGGAGAATGCATAACCTCCGCCCCCAAGGTCTACAAAGACATTCAGCTCTCCCAATCACAAAGGGGATAAACTAGCAGAATAATTGGGGGGGGGAGGGGGGAGGTTTAAGTTGTTTTTTCATTCTTAGAAATTGAAAATACTTATTTTTCTTCTTATTATTTAATACATGTTAAAATTTTAAAATAATTCATATATATATCTGAAGTCAAAGTAGCAGATTTTACATGAGTTCTTGTACTTCCAAATGACCTATTAACCTTCATTACATGATAATCCTTGCTGCAGCTCAAGGCCATCGCAGGATAACTTGTTATAATACAGGGTGGGACAGAGGTAGGTTTACAGTGGCGTGTATGGCAAATAGTACATTAAGTAATAAATAATAAAACAAGACTAAACTGTGCTTCACATTCTCACAACTGTTAAGCCTCCTTTTGCCCCACCCTTTATTTAAGGGGAAATGCCTAACAGAGAAGCAAGGATAAAATGGTAAAAAGGAAAATCCTGAAGAAATTTTCAGAGGTGGTGGCTAACGGGAGTAGGAAAAAAATACTTCACCCTCCATGGAAACAGTGATTAATGAACATAGTGAAAAGCACATGCTGCTCTTGACCTGTGAACTTAGTGCTTAATGTTTCCAAACTAAGAAAGTCTCCATTTTTTAACATTTTCTATGAAACAGAAATGAAAGTAAGAAAATTTGGGTAAAACTTATTTTTCTTTAAAATCACTTAAGAATAAGCCTGATATATAGTTTTATGAAATTGTAGATGTTTATTTGAATAGGAATTTAAATTGCTTATTAAATAGAAAATACAAATGTCATTTGAAATAATTAGTGGACTGTTTCTACACACTAAGAATGAAGTGAAACTTAAGCCACTTAATAGTAGTTTTGATTACTGTACATCTGAAAAATTCTGAAACACATTACCTGAATTACCCATTTTGGTTGTCTGAAAAGACTAAATAATTTTAGAATTACCTAATCTCCGTTTCAGGTTGATGGTGTAGCTGCAGCCTTAGTCAGCATTGCCTCTCATTTCTGATTGATATGGTAAATGAAGGTGCAATGCTCTAGAAATTGTGCAATTGATACTGATAGAAGAGAGAAATAGAATCAATGTATTTATTAAACATATAAGTATCTTTTCATTTTTAGTTTCCTGTAAAAGCCACTGATACAAAAAATATGAAAATTACAATAAACTAAATCACAAATACATATGAATTACTTCTCTTTTATGGATTTGTGAAGACTTCATTAAAGTTTCTCTTTAACCTTGTTATACCTGGTGTGATTAAGTCATGAATAATAAATAAATCAGTGTTACAGTCTCATTGTTTTGGGAAGCTTGTCAAAACAATCTCAACATATTTAAGCTAAATTATATTTTGCATAAGGTTGAAATGATTGTGCATTAAAAGAAAATAAATTACAGAGAAATTTCATTTCCTCTGTTATTTTCAAATTGTTATTAAGATAAGTCTAACTTTTCTTCTTTATATTGTTTAATGAAATGCCTTATTTTTACTGAAATTTTGTGTAATTATTTAGGGTCCTCCGGGAGGTGGAGGGCCACCAGGAACACCCATCATGCCTAGTCCAGCAGGTATTGTAATCAAACTAGCCACATTGGCACTTGATTATTAGAATAAAATAGAGAAATTATTCTGAAAGTTAGTCATATTCATTGTCTCGTTTATGGATGCAGAAGTAGACCATAGCAAATAGGAAGAAACCCTGTTCTTAAACAACTATTGTCCAATCACTTTAAGAATTTAGAAAATTTCTGTTGTGTGGTTAACATATAATCAGGATGCAAATTGTGTTGCTCTGTATGAATTGTCCAATAATGTATCTAAAAGATTCCTTGAGACTGTGGAAAAGATCCAAATCTCACAACTTAGAAAAAGTCTACATAAGTAACATATGAAATACACGGATCCATTAGGTTTAATATACATATCAGACCCACCAATCTATTATCTTACTAAGATAGATGTAGATGTGCCTACAATATTATTTATCCTACACATCTATAGGTATTTATTAGTTAGCTAATAGATCCACTATGTAGTGTGGAATGTTTTTTTTAATCTTCTAAACTAAAATACCTCGGTATTCCTGTAATCACTTAATGTAACAATTTTAAATAGGTTTCTTCTTTCTTGTTGAGACTTTAATACAGACTGTTAAATGTGTTGTGTCTTGAGAACTCTAATGGTGGCGGTTTACATTGGCATAGCCCTCCTACAAAGTGCTCCGGCAACATGTATCAAGAGCTGTGAAAAAGTTTATACTACGTGACTGTACAATCCTACTACTAGAAATGATTGGAGGCATAATCTAAGATTTATGTAGAGGGATGCTCATTTGTTATGGTAAATAGTGAAACAGTAGATACAACCTTCATACCAAATCTAATTTTAGTGAAACTAATAAATTAATTTTTATGCAATATAATGTAAACATTAAAGTTATTATCAAAGAATGTTTAATTACATGGAGAATAAGTGTCACAATTTTATTTTAAATATATATAACACAGAAATCTAGAAAGTAGAAAACAACAAAATAGTCTAAGACTTTATCAGTGATAACTTCTGGGTAATGAAATAGATGGGAAATTTTTATCACTTAGAAAATTTTTATTTATGTTACACAGTTAAATTCATATGCTCTGAACTGGTTTGTTGAAGTCTAAGCTATATAGAAGCTTGAAATTAAATATCATTAATTATACCAATAAATGAATATTTTTAAGTTTTGAATCTAATTTTGAAAAAGCAAAATTAGATAATTAATGCAAATTTTACTTTGCCTCACTAACTCTTTGGAATACATCATAAATATTTCATAGATCTCTGTCCTCAGAGCATCTTTATTGAAGCAAAACAGAATTTATTGAAGATAGAATTGTGTGAATTGAACATCTTGCCCACATTTGCATTTCTATTTGCTGAAGTATATTTATGAAGGTACTTGTGATTAATAAACACTTTACTTCAGTACTAAAAGAAATTTTTTTGAGAAACACAGCTTTATTTTAAAGTTTTTCTGTATATAGAAAGAAATCATATATTTCCTAGGTAATACCAACTTTATTCCCCTCAATACTTTTTCTTTTTTAGATGAAATTATATTCTTGATTAGTCTTAAAAACAGTGTTTATTTTTCTTTCTGCATACTTAAAATATACAACCCATTTTCCTTTCAAATTAATTACTAAAACCAGTAAGTAAAGTTAGTAAGGCTGGTAAAGGTGAAAAACCATTTGCAGTTTTCCTATGTTTAAAAACCAATCCAAGATTTTCTAAAAGATAAGTTTTTATGGTATAGATTTTATTCTTAGTTAAATTAGCAGATATCTATTGTCTGAAATACACAACCTGAGTTAGACATGTTCCTTTCCTCCCGGTGAGCTTAGTGCAACCTCGTTGGAAGCAGGAGAGAAGACAGAATGTTAGCTGTGATGCAGAGCGGAATTCAGTGGTGGGAGGCTCTGCGATTGGGACCCGGAGGAAACCTCCCTAGCGTTTCGGGGTGCCCGGTAGAGAGTAGGATTTCAGCAGGTGGAGATGGGCAGCCGATGCTTGGAGGGAGAAAGGACAGGTGCGCGGCGCTGGAGAAGGGCGCGCACGCGCAGGAGGCCACAGGCACCCTGGCGGGCAGGGCGCACAAACAGCGCCGCGCAGCCCTGGCAGCCGGGGTGCGGGGCGGGTGCAGGTGCGGGTGCGGCGGGAATGTTTAAAGCGTGCGGTACCTGACAGTTTCCTCAGGGGCACTGACCTCGTTTCCCTTAGGTAGCCAAAGAGAAAATGACCGCAGCCAGCACAGCGATAGCCGTCGGGGGTGAATGAATCAAAACTCTACCTGTTTTGTGTGGTGGGCGTGGCTCAGCGGTTGAGCATCACCTATGACCTGGAGGTCCCAGTTGGGTTCCGCCCAGGCCACCTGCTCGGCTAGGGCTCATCCCCAGCAGGGGGGCGCAGGAGGCAGCCAGTCTGACTCTCATAGATGTTTCTCTCTCTCTCCCCCTCTCCCTTCTCTCTCTGAAATCAATAAAAACATTTTTAAAATTCGTCAACATCATTAGATGTTTTAAAAAAATGTATACCTATTTTTTGTCAGATCAGCAAAAAATACATTTTTTTGGTGTGCCACTGAATATTAGTAGTTAGTTTATGTGTGCCATGAGATGAAAACGGTTAAAAATCGCTGGTGTGATGTATTAATCTAGACATGAAAAACCATACTTAGATTTTCACTGTTGACAAACAACCAATACATGCCATCTAAACTAGAGTATAAGTGGTGTACACTAATATAATCAACTTATTAATGTCCAATAAGTAATCACAAAATGAGAGGGAAAGTCATTGTTCATTTCCCACTCTATCGTTATTGCCATGAGGGAGCCCTTAATTTTTATCTTCTGCCTTGAATCAGTGTAAAAAATTTGAAACACATCTTTTTCAAAAGAGAAAGGCCCATTACATTGTATTTAAGAAAACAATGTAATTGTAGAAAAATAGAAAAACTTATTTCATAATTAATATATCCTAAATGTAAAATATTTAGCTTTTACTCTAGGTTATACATTATAAAAACACGTTTGTAGACTTAGAGTTAGCTAATAGACATGAAATATACTTTAAAATACTTTCAAATGTTATATATAGTGTCCCAAAAAATGTATACATATACCTTGAATATTTATAAAGGCAGTGTTCATTAAAATGCATTTCATTTTCAGAATTGAGCTATACATTTTTTTGGGACACCCTGTATTTATATCGATATACGGAAACAATGAAAACGGAAAAGATATACTGAATCTGAATATTAGAGATTTTTGTTATACATATACATATAAATTGCCTAAAAAAGTAAAAAAATCCATGATGTTTTTTAAAAGAAAAACTTTAACTTTTTAGATTTTTTAAGTTAATTACTTTTTACCTGAATTATTCAAGTGATTATCCCTAGTATATTAGGTAAATATTCCTCATTTACAACCTCAGAATAGTGATTCTGGGTCAGAAAATGAACATTAGTAATGACTGTTTCAGGTACTGCAGCTATTAATATGTGTAGGTGTCCAGATCATCTTTGATTATTACTTTGTGATGTCTTGGGTATAGATTATAAAGAAAGATATTAATTAAGTAATTTTTTGTTTCAGATTCAACCAATTCTGGAGACAACATGTATACTTTAATGAATGCAGTACCTCCTGGACCTAACAGGCCTAATGTAAATATGAATTTTAAAAAGTTTTTGTCATGTATTTGAACACTCGTATTAATGCATTCCATTTCTTGGATACTCTTTAAGCTTTATATTTTATAATCCAGATGCTTATTGGATATTAAGAAAATCATATGCTTTCTAAAAGATTTCATATCAATATAATTTAAATGTAAAAGTGAACCTAGTTAATTACAAAATGTTGGTGTGTAGTCTTATTTTATCTCAGATACTTAATAAATAATACTGGCTATTTGAAAACAACAGGTAATGTATAAATACCTCATTTTAGCATCACCAATTTCTTCATTGTGATCCTATTTTATGTGTTTCATCCTGACAAACTTGACAATAAAAGAGGAAATTGTATATACTTGTTTTTCTTTAGATTTTGAAATCCAGAGTTTAGATATGGAACCGAAACAGTTCTGCTGAATGAATTTGGGTGTTTTAATAAAGCATATGGTTGTGATTTTTCCACAAAAGCTTACAGAAAAATATTTTATTTATCCATGATAAGACCTACGTGTTAACAAAAAAATATTTATAACAAAATATAGTTAACACAGATATATATCTATATATAGGGTAGTTCAAATTAAAGAAAAATCAGGAGACATAAGAGAATTTTCATAGTATACCGAAAACTGAGAAACAAATAATTATTATAATGGAGCTTCCTAACAGAGAAGACAATAGGGGGAAACTTGAAATCTGCCCAGTGTGATATGGTAGTTGACAATGGCTGGTCCAAATTGAGATGTGCTGTCAGAGTAAAATATACACTGGATTTTGAGGACTTAGTATGAAAGAAATGATGTGAAATATTTCATTAAAATTCTTATGTTGACTTATGTTGAAATGATAATAATTTTGATGTATAAAGTAAATAAAATATTTAACCTATAAGATGAAATTATGCCCATTTGAACAAAAATAGATTGCTAAAAAAAAGTTAATGTTGGTATAATAATGTTGAATCATTCTTATTTAATAAGATATTTATCATCTTTAGCAGCTTCGTAAAAATCACCTCTTATTTATAGTAGCACAATTTGTCAATAACATAGAAGAGAATATTTATCGCTTGCACTGGAATGTGTGTGCTTTCTACTTGAGGATGTCTGAAGAAGAAAGATTTGGTTATGAACAAGGGTTAGTCTAAAGATCCAAACAGAGAGAGTATGGGTTGAGGGAAGTAGGGCAGTCCAGTTAGAGACTCTACAAGGCTGGAAAAAATTTTAGGAAAATAATCTCTGTATCATGAAAATGAAAATAAGTTGTGGGATTGTCTAAAATGTTAAAGACAGATATTGTAACATTGATATAAACAATTGTTTTCAATGTTATTATTGTTCTTTTCTTTATTTTTTGAAGTTTCCAATGGGCCCTGGTTCAGATGGACCCATGGGTGGATTAGGAGGAATGGAGTCACATCACATGAATGGCTCTTTAGGTAAGGATATTAAATTTGACGTTCATTTAGAAATAAATTCAAAACAAATCCTTCATTCTACATACCGGTGTTAGGGTTTGCAGAGTTCTTCTGCGTACAGAAACTCATTTTGAGGTGCTTCATCTTTTACCTCACCCCTGTAGTTTAATCTGTAGTGTATTGTTTATGATGACCATAGATCATTTGAAAATCAGAAATGTGAGATTTGTCCTAACCTAGCTCATATTCACAGGTTATAAACTAATGTAAGAGTTGATGAGGGGGTAGATGTTTGTGATCTTTTTTTTCTTTTGAAAACAGACCATCTTTTACTTAGATGGAGAAGCCATGCCCATGAGTTACTTAGATTATACACAGATTTCAAAACCCCACCCAAAGTCAGGAAATGCCACCCTCTGGTACTTTGAAAAGCTATGTAACCTCAGTAATCAGGAAACTATTTTCAACACATTGGTAGATTTTTCTGCTTTTAAGGATCCATACTTATTTTGCCTATATTTCAAAGCCTTAATTTCCACTGTCCAATTATGGTAACCACTAGTCATGTGTGACTACTTAATTTTAAATTAAAAATAAATAAAATGTAGATTTCAGTTCCTCAGTTGCACTGCCACATACCAAGTGCACAGAACCACATCTAGCCAGCGGCTGCCATCAATCATGTACAGCACAGAAAAACATCCCATCATCACACAAAGTCCTACCAGACAGCACCATTCTAGAATTTTATTTTCCAATTTCTTGCAAGATAATGTACTCTTCAGTCTTTTAATTTATGAAGTTATGCACAAAAAGATGACATTTGGTCAGAGTTAGAGAATTCTTAGTAGTATTATTCATTAGAGTAGAATTTGCAGAAGAGTTTCACACATGCTTGGCATGTGGCTCATTTCTGTAATGAACATTATTGTACATATTTATGTAGATGCATAATTACTCACATACATTCAGTGTTTAACAGTTTATTGTGCCTGCTTATTTACAAATTAATCATGTTAATAAGCCCTACCTTTATTTGTGACTGTTGTGTATTTAAAATAATTTAAAATAAAGCTAATACTGGGGCAAAGATCTGATTATTGTTTCTTTATACCAGGAGGTATAATGTATGATTCCACTTCTTAAAAAAGAAATTAGCATTGGCTATTCATTTCTCCCAAGAATCAAAATAAAACAATCTTATATTTTGAAGACATTTTTACTTTTGATAGATTGCCATGAATACTGATTTCTGTCAAATATGTGATATTATATTATTAAAAGTACTTTACTTTTGGTTATTATACTGAAATGTGGTTGAGAATATTGTCAGGTATTATTGCAAACGTCCATTTTATATTTTATCAGATTTAGAAGCATCATGTCAGGAAACATTTGGAGATTTCTCTCTTGCTCTCTAGTTAAACACACACACACATACACATATACCTACATTTTAGAATCTTGAATTGAGTAGTATATATAAATCTCTCCATTATTTTACTTTCAGGAATTTTGATAGCAACAGTTTTCTTTATTCTGCCAATACATAAAAACCCCCAAAAACGAAATTATTGGGAACTAGAGGTACAACTCTTCCTTGCATTTGCCATCAAATGATACTTATTTACCATACAGTGTAAAAAAAAAGGAATTTTTTAAGATTAAAAATTCAGGATATGCACACTGGAAAATACAACAAAAGTATGCTGCATTTATTTATATTGAAGACATTCTAATAAAGGCTTTCTTTTTGTACTTCGTTTCAGGCTCAGGAGATATGGACAGTATTTCCAAGGTGGGTACTGTGTATTCTGTGCTGTTTTTTGTCTGTATTTAATTTCACATAGAATTCTCACTAAGATTATTAGAGTCACCTTATAAATTTTGTTCCTGAACAAGAGTTTGAATGTAGAAGGCCAGATATAATTAACTGCAAGTTTAAAATATTAATGTATATAATCTGTGGGAAAGGGTAAAAATCAATCTTTTACGAGTGTTTCTAAACATGCTAAGGTTAATTTACAAGGTGTACTATACCTGATTAATGGATACCCAAGTAATAACCAATTTAATCATATTATTATGTTACATATTTGTAAAGCAAACTGACATAGTTTAGATAACCTTTTAAAAATGTAAAGAATTCTAGAGAAACATGAGAAAAGGTAAATTTGAAAAAGTGATTATTATATGTTATAAGGACATTGCATTTATACATCTCATTTGTCTTTCAAACTTTCATTAGGAAATGCTGATGTCCTTGATCATTATTCTAGTTCCCCAAAATAGAGTAAGAAAATAATTAGAGGAAAATTATAGTAATACAAGTTGGAAAGTAAGCCTTCCAATAGCATGTGTCTGCATTTTTCTTCAAGAGTTTGAGGATCTAAAATTAATCCTTTGCTAAGATGCCTTATATTTTTTTGAAGAAGAGTACCTAAATACTTTTTAGGTCATGATGAATTTAAAATAGTTCTCTGTGGATCAAAAATATATTTAGAATGGCTGAGAAGAACTAATTATTAACTACCACTAGAATGACTCTCTTAGAAGTCTACTTTATATCCATAAACACAGAAATTCATTAAGGGATGACTTCATTTTAAGTTATACTTCTAATTTATATTCATGTATAATAAAGTAAAATTCCTGATGCCAAGGAAAATAAAGTAAGATTGAGCTACAAAACCTTTTAAATTAAGAATTCAAGCTAAAAGGAGAGAAAGTAGTGAGAGTTTAATTGGCCACCTGACATTAAGCCTACACGCCTGGCTTATAGGTTCTACATACACTTTGGGTGTCTGTGTCTAGGAACAATCAGGAAGGCCTTTTTCTTTTCTAAAAATAGATAAATATTTATAACACACTAGCTTACTTCTGTGAGGAATAGTGTTAGGTAAGCCTTCAAAAAGCCTGATTTCAAAATCAGATTCACTGTATAACCCCATTAGAGCCTTTTCTCCGGGAAGCTCCTCTACAAGTCAGACAGCTGTGATTACATCAGCTACCTTAGGTGTCTAACAACTGACATTAGCTGAATTGTGCTTTGTGGTCACCAGTGAAATTTCTAATGTTATATTTGTAGCATAGTCTAGTATGTAAAGATGATTCTTCATTACACAAAAGTGGGATCATCCAGATTGCTTAAGGCCATCTTCCTGAAACTTCCACTAACAACCCATTGCCTTGTACATTAGATAGATGTAAACAGTTCTACATGGGAGAGTACTTGGTAGTTTATAAAGTACTTTAAAATTTTTAAATAGTGCCATAAGGACAAATTAAATACCATCTTCTAATCCACCCTCATATCAAGTCTATTGCTGTTCCTTCTGTACTGCTTTTCCCATTCCTATGCCCAGAGACAAGTTTTTCCGCTACACTGTACCCACTGCTGATAACATTCTCTTGCCTAATGAAGTACTGCTTATTTTTTAAGCATTAATTGACCACCCACTGTGTACTTTTGTGTACTGTGGTACTGCCTTGTGCACTAAGGGGCGATAAGAAAGACTCCTTTAAATACAAACATAATCTCTGCCCTCAAGTGGTTTATATTTAGGCCGAAGTTCCTTCCTTCAGTTAACATTAATGCCCCAAGGCATTATTGGGGGCTCTCTCGGAATCCAAAGATAAACAAGATAAAGGTCTCTGCCTTCAACAAGCTCAATATAACTAAGGAGACCAAACAAATACAATGAGGAACAACTTTTTCAAAGCAGAGTTCAGATACATTTCAATGAACATAATACTTATCCCCAAGTAATACACATGCCCCTTAGCAATGTACTAGGAATGACCAGCTGTGCCCACCTTGGGACGAGCTCCTTTCTGCACTGCCACGCCAGGCTGTCTGGGCGAGGGTGCCCTAGTGTCTGTCACATCTCCAGTGCTCTGTAATTTACACTTCACAGCGCATCGTGTGTATTACTCCCCCCACCCCCGATCATTTTTCTCCCTACCTCTTTCCACACACAGCCTAGTTACTTGTCTTGTACTCCAAGCTCTGCACAGTCACCAACTCACTTTTCCACTATGCCCAGCTGTCGCACAAAACCTTCCTCCCTTTCCTCTTTGTTCCTGGGTTTGTTCCCTTCCATCCTGTTCTTTTTCTAGACATTCGTGTTTGTGAATCAAAAGGTAATCTTCACCACTGCTGCTCAGCAGTTTGGTTCAAAATCCTTCTTAGGTCTCCAGCTACATCTCCCCAATTCCCCAGTTAAGCCTGTATTTTTCAAGCATCAGTATTACATATTTTTTAAAAATGTCTTACTCCATTTTTAAATGTTGTTTATTAGTACTATTTCAATTTTTTTTTTACTTTTTCATTGCAAATATACTCTGCTTTATGCATTTTATATATAAGGTGAAGAGTACTGAAGCGAGAATCAGAATGCCTGGTTCTACGACTTACAAGTTTTGGCAACAAGTTACTTGATTTCTCTTCGGCTCTGTTTTCTTAGCCCTAAAATAGAGCTTGTAGTTCATTTCTTACCCAGTTCATAAAATGGTTGAGAATCAAGTGTGAGTATATGCTAAGGGCTCTGAAGCACTGTACAGATACTAAATGCTTCCTCCTTACTATACTACCTTTTGTGGGCAAGGCTAGGAACTCACACTGTCAACTCCACTTTGATAGCTGGCACTGTTCCACTGGCACAATGAGCTCACTGCTTCAGACAAAGAGTTTTAAAATCACTGCTTGCTTAGTTGAGGATTACCTAGTAAAACTCACATGCATCTTTCTCAAAATGCAGAATTCACCTTTAATTTAGAAGCCTTTTTTAAAATAAAATGCGAAATTCTTGTCATCCCTTTTGTAACTGAGGAGTCATTCATTTAATTGGTGGAACAAAAATTTTATGCCTTGGAGTTGTTTTAGGAGTTGGGGATTGAGAGGAACATATGGTTTGCTTTCTTAAAAGGAACTCACCTAAATAAATTCTGCAGTTCACATTCAAGATACTTAACATTTATATTTTTTAGTTTGGGAAAAAAGCACATATCAGAGAAAGCAAGATCTGATCATATCATGCTTAATAAATTATCCAAGGACTCTTTTCAACCTGAGGCTAGAAAGCTTCAAGTTGAAAGCTCATGAAGCTTAGTTCCAGCTAAATATTCCACACCATTCACAGGGTTGCTAATGGATGACTACAGATCTCGGCCATCATCTCAGTTATCGGCTGAGTTCTAGCTCACTTTTCCCCCTGGGGGAACCAGGACTGGCAGTTTGTTCTTTTGGCCAGATGGCAGAGTCAAAATGACACTCTATAAACCTTGCTATTGGCAGCCTGTGAGAAATCAATTCAAAATTCACTTCCAAAGGGCTTAGAATATGTCAATATTGTTTTCTTCCAATTATAGAAGGAGCCCAAATTTCTACAAGTGTTCCCTTTTTTTAATAGCAGTGTGAAAGTTTTGGAACAATTTCTGGGGATAGGTGGAAGAAGGAACAATAGCTTACTAATTAAGAGATGATATGGAAGAATACCGGCAAGATAAAATCAGAGAGCAGAGAGCTAAATGAATTAAATGTGTTAGCCAGAAGAAATTGTGTGTGTGCGCGCCCACACACAGGCTCATGTGCGCTTTAAAATAAGTTAATATAAGTAAGGGAAGCACTCCAGTCGGGAGAAAGGGTGAATGAGTGTATAATAAAACCCCTTGAAAATGGGATCAGTATAATTGGAACTATACTTCCTCAAGTAAATCCTTAGAGTGTAAGTAGGAATAAAGTCCACATTAGCTGAAGTACGAAATGCAACCAAAATGCCTGATGGCGCTAAAAGTGATCTTCACTTGTATTCTTTGGTCTCCGTACTCCCTAATTATGTGCTTCAGCAACTGGAGTGCCTTTCTGACCGAGCTAAGCCCTTTTTGTGCATTGTGTTCTTGCCTTTATGATGAAAACTCCTGAACACTGCACACAAACATGCCTACAGTTAAATGAAATACACACCCGGTCCGTTGCCACCCACCCCCGTAACCTGCTCCAGCCTGGTGTTTGGAACCAGCATCTGAGCCATTCCTCAGATGCCTGTATCGAGTGTCAATCAGTGATCGTGGGCAGCACAGCCTCCTTAAGACTCCCCATTGAGAAACTTTTGCTTTTTTACACAACATTTTGCAGAAATTACTTCAGATTTTTAAAAACTTGTTGTATCATTCCAAGATTTCCAGACATGCGCAGTGAGCTAGATAGGAGTAGGTTTCAGAGATGTGATACTAGTTGAGTTTTGTATGTTGAATGTGTCTTTTTAATCTTCCTCTCAGTGCTCTTATAAAAAAACCCACAAAAGAGTACAGTGCTAAGTTACCAGGATATGAAAAGAATGCATGAAAAACAGAAATAATAACACTGGAAGTGTTTTATAGGTATTTCTTCTAAATATTCTTGTAAATATTTCTTTCTAAATATTTCAATAGTAATACAATGTTGCTTTCAAATTTTAAATATTTTTAAATTAACACTTTGAGTCAGGAATCAGATTTGAAGTTAGGTAAACTTTCACAATTATAAATCAAGAAATGAAATACGGCAAAAGTGCAGCAGAGTCTGAGAATGCCCCAAGTTACTCAGGGCTGTGCTGCTCCTCTCAGGGCACCTGGGGAACCACTGGCAGTGTGACTGTTACACTGGAATGGAGAGGGCTCATTTCATGGATTTGTTTGAATATGTAGAAATATTCAGCTTTCAAGTGCCTCCTCACATGCCCTTATACAGATGTTAGGTTATTTTTTATTCTAAGATTACCAATTTCTCTATTTATATGAAATGGCAGAAATCTGCCTTCACCAAAAAGACATAGATTTGGGGTAAATCTTACAATATTTGTATAAATGTACTTTTATTTTTGAGCTAAGTCAGCATTATCATTCCTATTTTTAAAACACAGTTGATTTGTTAATAACTTTAATAACGAGTAAGTATAGCTTAGTTAGTTGTAATTAATTAAATTTTACTTACATGTTTTTTTGTGTGTGTTTTTGGGGGAAATCAAGTTACCCGTGTTCATTTCAAAGTACATTTGCTTTTTTCTATACTTGGGAAACTTAACATTTTTAGAGAAAAACTTATCAAAAAGAAAAAGAGTTCTCTTTATGCCATTAGACTCTGGTTCCCCAGCTGGTGTGGTTCATTGGCAAATTGAGCTCCTGTGGACTCAGACGCTCCCTGTTGTCAGATCCTCCCTGTGGGGTGCACAGCAGGACAACATACAAGCTGTATCTCCACCAGTTCCTCTACCTGTGTCTGCTTTACAGTTTAATCATATTTTTTAAAAGCACATATTCTCACTCATGAAATTTTAATTTTTATGAGACAACTGTTTTAGTTAAGTCTTATCCTCAGTGCAATTTTCTTCTAAACAGTTAAAAAATGAATTTAAAAACAGAGTATAGTATCAGTGGTGTAGGGGGAAAAAATCTAAAACCTTTCTCTCACTTGAAATAACAAATAAAAAATTTTTAACCTTGAAGTTGATTTTTACAAGTCGATAAATTGGACCTGGGAAGAGTCCCTCAGTCAGAGTTGCAGTACTGTGTGGACATGCTTTATACGCCAAGGTCATTCTGTTCACATTTCCTAAGACGTGGAGCATCGGGTGACCTCACAGGGCTAAAACCGTATAGTAGTAATCAGACTAGCATATTTAAATAGAATATGAAGCGGTATACTGCTAACTTAGTGTTTGATTAGATTGCTGATATCAGCCATTTGACCTGAAAGGAAAGTTTCAAAGTAAATCTAGTCTTAAGCTAATGATAAGAAAAGGTTCTAAAGCAGGTTCCCCTTGGGGCCTTCTCTTGCTCTAAAAGTACATGTTGAATTCTCAGGTCCTAAGGTATTTCTCTTCTTAACTCTAGTTGTTAACTGTCTTCTTTTTTTCCTTACGGTTCATAGAAAAATCATGGTTAAGATAGTGTTACTGTGCAAACCGATGTGAAATGAAAGGGGAATGTTTATGAAAACGGTGGCCTTCTGAAGTTTGGTCAGTAGAGCACCAAGGGAAGTTGCCCTGTCACGCCTGAGCAGTAAGCAGGCTGTCTCATGGGGCCCCCACTGGGAATGGTTTCGAAACTCTCCAGAGTTCTAGGAACTCTATAAGCTGAGGACGGGGAATTGAATAGATATTGATTCTGAGACTAAGAAAAAGAGTTGTGGTGGGTTATTTTGGGTGTTCTGTGTGTGTTTTAATTTTCATTTGGGAAAGCATTAGTACTTGTCAAGGTTCAAAGAATGAACTAGAAAACATGGTCTAAGATTAGAATCACAAGTCGGCTTTGTCCTTAGAGATGCTGCTATAGATTCCATTTTTGAAACAGTACAATGCAAGAGGGAAATTAAAATCTTCAACAATGCCTTGTTTTCTAAATCTTGTTTACAGAACTCTCCCAATAATATGAGCCTGAGTAATCAACCGGGCACTCCAAGGGATGATAGCGAAATGGGGGGAAATTTCTTAAACCCTTTTCAGAGTGAGAGTGTAAGTATTCCCTTGACTGCATTACTCTGTCCAGATTTTACTTCTGAAGCTCTTCTGTTAGAATTAATGCATAAAGCCAGTGTTACAACTGTTTAGAGTTCAATAGGTTGGTCTTTTAAAAGTTAGAAAATTAAGTGAAATTTCTTTGAAAAAATTAAGAAATAAACTTTTTCTTTTTTACTCCCATGTACATAGTTACAAAGACAAAAATTATAATATGAATTTTCTTATAGAGGACATCTGCTGTTAAGGAACACACTGGAAATAGGTTGCATATTTGATAGTTTTTGTAAGTTTTCACGTTGCTGAAATGTCTCGGATCACTGCAAACCCAGGTCTGTTCTCAGTGCTCTCTGTCCTTAAGGTTCTGAATATTACCTATAAGACCTCCCTGCCTGGCCTGTTAACCTGTTTTTTACATTTAACCTCAACCGGCTACCCAAGTTCTTTTTGAGTGTGAGTATAATGTTAAGTTAGGCAAAGGCAGTGTCATTCATGTCTCCATAGAAGTAAGTAGACAGGAGCAAAAGGAAGCAATACAATTCACTTGTTCATTTAACAAACAGTTTACTGAGCATTCACCATGGGCCATGCTAGGTACTAGAGAGACCAGAAAGACAATGCGGTGTCTTTTCTCAAGGGGTTATTACATAATACAGTGATTTTTAAACTAATCTTTTACATTTGAAGCATCTATAGAATTTTTAAAAATAGAATTCACCGGAACCCTCCGTTGACCTAGTGAGCCTGAATTTGCAGGAGTGGGGCTGGGCAAACCTGAGTGTGAGAAAGCTCTGTGGGTGATGCTGCGGCACATTCTCCGCTGAGAACTCCTGGACTGGAGTGTAGCATAAAGGGTTTCAGACCCCAAACAAGTTTCATATTCATAGGATTGCCATCTTTAAAACTGATTATGGAGAATCCACCAAACTACAGACAGAATCAGAAGGAAAAACTACCCTCATTTTGCCCTAATTCACCCTTTACCAGAGGTGACACCGTCAGAATTTGGAGCAGCAGCTAGTCACTTGCCCACTTTTGCACAAAGTGGCTGCTTTCCCAATAGAACCGAAGACTGGGTGTTCTATGGGTTCTTTTACTTCTTGGAGTTGACCTAGTGCCTCTGAGTGGGGTAAGATTTGCCCTGACTTTAGACTCTACTTCTGTTTAAACTAGAAGTAAAATTATGCTGATTTCTAGTTTGTCTGTTTTATTTCCAGGATATACAAGGTGTCCCCCCAAAATGTATACACCCTTTATAGCTGATAGCTCAGTTAATGTTTCTTTCTTTTCAGATTTAACCCATTGGAATTAATAATCATTCAAAGTGTGTATATATTTTTGGGGATACCCTTTATATACACAGATGTGAGCAAAAGTAGGTTTATGGTTGTATGTGAAGCACAGTTTATTCTTGTATTATTAATTATTACTTATTAATTATTGTATTATTGTCTATATGGACAACTGTAAACCCACTTTTGCCCCACCCTGTATCTCTATGTGTGTGTTTGTGTGTACATATATATATATTAGTGAGAACAAAAAAATATACATAAAAATTTATATTAAAAAAATCAAAAGAGTAGCCCATTGTGATGAGGAAATAGGAAATACATGAGAAACTGTAGTTTGTCAAATGCTTAGAATTATGGAAATTATTTTTTAGACCCTGATTCTTTCACTAGTTTGTTGCAAGACTGTGGACAAATTAGTTAATTTTAATTAATTAGTTAACATTTGCTTTATCTAATTAGACACATTTAGTTCCTTTCATGCTAATTCTTTCAGCACTAAAATGATATAATTCAGTGAAGTATATGATAATCCAGTTCAAGTCAACATTTATTGAGCCTGCTTTATCGAAAGCTCTAGGTTACGGACAGAGTATTCTGAATGAAATAAATATAACACATCCCTAACCTCAAGAAAATGTAATCAGATGAGAACATACTTACACAGCTAATTAAACCATGTGTCAGATTAAGAAGTACTATCGTAGATATAAACCAGGTGTTTTAAAAGCGTAGAGGGAATTATTAATTTTGGATTGGACAAGAAAACTTTTTTTAAAAGTTTCCACATGACTTTAACTCCAGAGGAGCTCTCCCCTCTCCTTCCTTCCCAGATTTGTCATTCCTGGCTGCTGCCCCGTTTAACAGTCAGAAGGGGGTGCCACTGCAGAGTTGGCACAGAAATCTCCCTATGGGGATCAAAGAATCAGATACAACAGGACTTTAAAAACTCCTTTGTTCAGAGTACATACCAGCCTCACCCTTTAACCCCAGGGAGTATGCACATGTGAAACAGCAGGCCCTTTTGTGATACTGCATAGAAAAGAGAACAGCTGGAGCAGGGCCTCACCCATGCCTGACTCCTGGCCCAGCCTCATTGCCAAGGAGGAGGTAAAATGCAGAGTGCTCTACAGAGTTAGAGAAAACAAAATTCCCGGCCATTCTTCTCCCTCCCTCTCCCCTCTTCCCACCAGAAAAGTCCCTAGAGGCAAACGAATTGGATGGTGGTTGAGAAACGGCACCGCCTCCCAGAGGTTGTGCAGCCTTAGCAGCAGGTCCGCCCTGGTGGTTCCATTCTTCTGTCTGCCTGGTGAGGACTCTGCCATATTATGAATGATGTCATTTTTTCTGTGGTTTTCTCTATCATCTCACCACACATTTTTGTTTAGACTTTTTTAAAAGACCAAGAAATGAGAGCAGAGAGGAAGGAAGACAAAAGAGATTCCTTGCTGACAAATGTTAAGGCTTTAGGAAGAAATAGACTATGTATCTCCAATAAATTATCTTTACTATAATCAAGGAAAAGCCGTAACAATTTAATGAATTCAAAAAGAAAACGAGGTGCTCTCCCTCACAGGAGCACACCTACGCCCTTCCCTTCCCCCTCTCCTTCCCTCTCAGGCATGCGTCTCCGAAATTCTAAGGGTCCCCAAGAGACTTGCAGCCAGGGGAGCAATGGGCCGCGGCAGCTACTTCAGGGCTAACCCCCTGAACCTGTTTCCAAGGCCCCTTTTCTCTGACAGCAGCCCCACCTCAGCTCATTTCTTTCCTATAATGTTTCTAGGGAGCCAAAGCAGCCCCACCTTGGCTCTCTCCTATTGCTGCTTCTGTCTACTAAGCCCTTCCTTGTTTCACTGTCCCCAGCTTGTACTCTCAAAAAAGAAAAAGAAAACATTTTCCAGTGAATGAACATGCAAATTCTAGTGTTTTTTTATGCCCATAACTCTGAAAAGCACATATTGCTGAGTGGTCTGCCTTTTGAGGATTGGTCAGTGTTTTTCTTGAAGTTAAACCTGAAGGAAGCCTGGGAAGGGAGCAAACATCTATTGAGTGGTTCTTATGTACAGACACTATTCGGTCACTTCACAGGTGCTACTTCATTTATTAATATAGAAACAAAAATTCCCCACCCGAGGTGAGAAACCTTGCAATGCCAACATGCTTTACATAGAAAAATGTGAATCAAGAATGTTTCACTATTCAACCTCCTGTTTTTTAGATCGTAAACAAGGCCTTTATTTCAAGAAACAAAGATGCCCCCTAGTGTAAACTCTATTAAATGTTTGGTTTTGAAAATACAGAATACAAAAAGGCTTAGTTCAAAAAATAGTGTTTCATGCTTTTTGAGTAAAAAAATCAGTTAATCTTATTTTTTTAATTAATTTAGCAGAATGTGTTCTCCATGACAAACTATAATCAACTGAGCAAAAATAATATGAAAATCATGGTATCAGATAGGAATTATAAACAAGGTGTGATATCGTCTCTCACCCCCTTACTGCCCTTTGTCATTTTCTGCTTTTGCAAAGAAATCACTGATGGCCAACTTTTTTACATAGTCACATACACACTAAATTTATCTCACTTTAGTTTAGCTCAGAGTAGCTGCACTATACTTATTTCTCATTAAGAACATAAAATGTTATATACGTATTTAGAGATAGAAATATAGTGAGATCTGAAGTGTATGAACAGGAACTTACGCACGTTGTTCAGGGATTTAATGGATATCTCTGATAGGTTCCATGGTGCATGAACTGGATATAATAAAGGGAAAATCACAAATTCTTTAGTACATACCAAGGCATGTAATTTCAAAATATATTTTACATAAAAAGGTAAAACAAGCTAGTATATGCTGAAAATTATACCTTTAGGTTTTACTTTTTTTTCCCCCCAAACCAAACACTAATGCTGTCAACAGCTTTCTCAAAGCCATTTTATCACCTGCTCCCTCGTGAGACAGGGCAACCGGTACCCCCGCATCCTGCGCAGACACTGCGGGTGTCTCCCCAGGTCCAGGCGGCCGTGCGGCGGAAACGTTACGGTGTGGTCTCAGGCCGTGACAGCATGAATATTTAATGTCTCTAAATCCAATACCCCGTTTAACACCTCCTCTGCCTGCCTTCTGGAAAACTCCAAGCCACGTCTCTGAAGAACAGTAACCAACGGCAGAATTCCCTTTTACTTGCACATTTTGTGAGTTGTTCTAGAAATTTTGTGACGTCCTTTAGTTTTACGTAGTTGAAGCATTTTCAATAAAGGCAGCAGCCGATGAGCCTCCACAGTTTAAACAGCATGTCACTTATGTGGACACCCCCCCCGTGCAACCTGTTACACCGCGCCAGGGGCACGCGGTGCGCCCTTTCCCAGCTTCTTGTGCGGCTCAGACACTAGACGCTATGAGACGCTGATTTTCCTGAGTCGTGCTGCTTGGAGCTGCTGCCGCCTTCCTTTCTCACCGAATCTGACCCTTACTTTCTCTTCTGTGTGCCTTACTTTTCCACTTAGCTTCCTCCCCGGACAAGCCTAGGTCTCCTAACTTCCCAGTGAGTCTGTAACACGTTTTCATTTTTCTGTAAAACATTCGAAATGTGACAGGTTAAAAATCATAACAGTTGTCAGTGTGAAGAGATAGTAGCAGCCAACAAGCATGCTTGACATGCAGAGACTGTGCACATGTATCTATTCACATATACCCATTTTTTTAACTGTATATTAGAATGAAGCCTGTAATATACCTATAACTGTGTTCCCTAACATGACATGACATATATGAGATGAGTGAACTGAAATAATCCTATGAAAAAGGATTCAAGAATTTTTAAAATCCCAACGATTCAGAATGTGCATTAAATGAGATGGTCTCTGGAGTTCGTTATGACTTCTCCATAAAATTTTTTTCAGACACTTCCTTTGAAGTGCTTTCTGAATTGCTTTAGTCTCTTTTACTGTTTTTAGATTATTGGCACAATATACCCAATGAAATCTTTGTCTTGAAGTAATGATTGATGATCTAGCTGTGTTACTCAAATTTAAATTAATTATAATGAAATACAACCAGAATTCCACATCTTCAGCTGCACTAGCTACATTGGAAGAGTTTAGCCGCCACGTGTGGCTAATGGCTGTTGTATTGAACAGCACAGAAAACACACCCATGATCACGGCAAGTTCTGTTGGATGGCTATAGAAAGCATAGGCTAAATTTTTCTCTGCCCATTTTGCCATATTCTCTAAGTTAGCTACTTTTTCTAAAACCTTGGTATCCATTTATTTTCCCACTGTTTATTCCTACCCCAGGGAGTCAGATAAGCTTGCCGTCATCACTTATGATGAGAGATTTGCATGGTCTCTTCTGATGAGGTGGGGCATATCCCCCAGCACAGGGTCAGGGGTGAGCTCCATTTCATCAGTCCTTGTTCACGGCTCTTGTTGGCTTTTGGTTCTGGTTTGCTTTGCTTTTCGTTGCCATTATCAAGGGTAAAGGGGAGAAGTCTTCTATCAAACAACCCCCTTTCTCTTCTCTGGCAGTCTCCTTTTTGTAATCACCCTACTCGCTGTAATACAACACACACATTCAGTAACATATAACTTAGCTTTCTTATACTGAAAGAGAATTTGGGGCTGTTAAGTGATTAACAGGTAGCTTTTTCTTGATTTGACCTGTATTTAAAAGATTAACAATCCTCCCCTATGGTCTGGTGACCTGGTTTCAGCCCCAGTCATCCACCTTTATTCAGGATCAATGAGTGGTTTTTATTTGAGCCCTGGATTTATTCCTAATGACTTTCTGCCCAGACTTCTGCCAGCTGAGCCATTGTCACCTGTGCTCTTCCTTGGGGAATCTCGTTTTCTCTATATTAATAAGTCCATCCTTATCTGAGTGCACACCTTTTACCTCGTTTCTGGTTCCGACAGTACCTCAGCTCATGCGGAATTCACTTCATTCTGTCCCATCTGCTCCCTTTTGTAAAAGTCTGTGCTCCCTTTCCCAGCGTCATCACCGTTCCAGGTTAAGTCCCTGGAACCAAGACCAACCCCCTTGACTTTATCTGCCTCTTTCCGTGAGGCACAGTCATTATTAACGTGTTAAAAGAAATTCCCCTTTGCCCGGTCCTCATAGGTTTCTAGTAAAACGTTTATAGTATTTCAGGGTCCACATGTATGTTTTAATCTAGGAACGCCCTCCATTTGGGATGGCTGCCCGCCCCCTCATGTCAGAGGATCTAGAACTGTGCTGTCCGAGAGGGTGGCCACAAGCTTTATGGGGATGTTTAAACTTAAATAACATTAAAACTTTAGTTCCTCAGGGGCACTAGCCTTATATCATGTGCCCTGTAGCCACCTGTAGCTAGCAGCCTCCGTGTCGGACAGCACAGTCTTAAGGCATGTCCATCATTGAAGAGAGTTCTGTTGGGTAGTGCTGCTCTGGAACTTCCCTGTCACAGTCTGGTCCTCGAGAACAGGACGGGAGATTGGCATAATTATCAAAATAATTCCTCTTGGTTCCTCGCTCAGTCATTTTTGAGACCACTTCCAAATTGGTGAAAGCCTCGCCCTCATCAAACTGACAAGTAACATGTAACCTCAGTGCCCTACGCCCACCCAGAAAAGACTAGGTGGAGACTGTAGGAAAGATGTTTATGTGCCCAAGTGTAACGAGCCTGAAGTAGTCTAAGTACTTCGATTGATGGTATTATTAAACCCGTTTTATAGGCGAGGAAACTGAAGCGCAGAAAGGTTAGGTGACCTCCAAAGTTTACATAAGAAGCGGATAGCAAGGCCGTCCCTCAGACTGATGTCCTCGTGATTCAGCCTTGGACTGAATTTACCCAAATTGTAACAAATGCCCATGAAACACGAATCTGCTGGAGGGAAAAGGCTAAAGAACTGGGTGATTATCCACCTGAGTCCAGGGAGAGAATGTGACTGGTTACTTCCCAGAGGAAATGTTAAAAATTCCAGGACTAAGTCAACTCTCTATGAATTTACTCTCTTTATAGTTTCTTATGTTTATGTTGTGTGAGGTTAAAAGCTTGAGCATAAAAGATTATAAGACATTAAAAATTCATAGTTGCGATTGTCTACCACGGAGAACATGAGTGGTCTGTAAAAGAACTGATGTTAAAATCCGAATTCTTCTTTCTTTCTAGTACTCCCCTAGCATGACAATGAGTGTGTGACCCATCACCAAGTCTCCTCATGAAAACCACAGTGAGTCAGCCCTTCACAGAACTGCTAGGGAAGAAAATTACTCATCACATGTACAGTTAAGCAAAGGAATCTCAGTCGCACCAAACCAACCTTTTTATTTCCTGCTCTCTCCCCTATTTTGTGAAGAAAGCGGGTCCAAATGTGATTCAAACAACTGTACGGAGCGGCCTCTTAGGATTGCCCTGAAATGAACTGCAAGTAATGATCTGTGTGTGTATATGTGTGGGAAAGAGAATGTATTGTATATGTGTATGTTACATGGACATGTGCACATGCATACATTGACCCACAGGACACTGTAAAATATTATCACATGACATCTTAAGTAGAAATACGTAGGGACTTTTATTCCACCCTTTTTTTTTCACGTTTACATTTTAATTATTAAAAGTTGCTCCTGCCCCTCCCTGAACTATTTTGTGCTGTGTATATCACTGCTTTATATAAGTTATTTTTTAAGGTGAACTCAGATGTTATGGTTTTGTAAATGTCTGCGATCATGGATAGGAATAAAATCGCTTATTTGAGAGCTTTCATTAAATTGCGTCTGATGCAAGTTACCCTGTGAATCACAAAGTGTACTGTCTCCAAAAAAAAAAAAAGGAAGAAGAAACTGTGTCTTCATCTTTATGTCAAATCAAACAATTTCTCAGTTACCTTCAGTGAAAATATTTTTGTACCTTTTGTTTAAAAAAAAGAAAAAAAACTTCAACAAAGGCGTAACTGGGACCTAACAGTAAATTTCTGCAGTAACTGCTTTAGATGGAATTCTTGATTTGTTTGTCTTAGATGATACAGAAAATCATTAATTAGTACCAGTTGCTTAGACCATAGCAATAAAGTGACAGGGCTTGTCTTGTTTTTAGCAACATATTTTCTTTTTACCACTATAAAGACCAGAGTGATAAGAAAACATTTGCTGGAATTTGTCGCTTCTCACCAGGAATACTAGAACTAAGTTTTCAATAACATACTAATGTGAAATGGTATCTGATTTTTATTGTGGCCTCTTGTGAACACGTCCACATAAACACTGCAAAGAAGATGCATTCAGCCGGCTGAGACTTTCAGCAGGAGGAGGAAGAGTTGCTGCCACACCCGGGGCCCTGGAGCGCTGCCTCCATCAGGTGTCCTGCTTCCCAGCAGCAGGCTTGACTGGTCACGGTCCCTGCTGTGCCCACCTTCTCACTGGCAGCAGAGCGCCGCTTTCTTCCCAGGACACAGGACTGACTTAGAAGGAAATCATTTAGATGATTTAAATGCATTTCATTTGGCCATTGACTTCAGCAGGCTAAATCTACAGTTCAGGAAAAAAAATGAGTAAATGTTAGAGAAAAAAAAAATTTTTTAAGTCACTTTTCTTATGAAAGCCCCTTGCTCTGGCACTTTCCACATCTTTTGGGTTTTTTGTGTGTAACCATAGGTACAAACCCCAAAATCGCGATGGAAAAGTGTGACAGTTTTAATTGTAGATTCTAAAGGATAAGTTGTTGATCATTTCTGTTAAAATTGTGATTCAAATAACCATTGATAAACATCAACTATATTTTCAAACTCCAGAGACTTGCAAAGCATTGTTTAATTTCAGGTAAGAGGACTTCTTTCTTTAGACGAATGGTCTCTAACATGAAAGTTTGGCAGTATATTTGCTAATTCCTGATCGCAGATGACTTATTTCTCTCAAATATGTAGTGATTTGTTCCTTATGAAAATAAAGAGTTTGCCTGTTCATGACAGGGATGCTGGGCAGAGCTGTCCAAAGGAAAAAGAGAGGCTGGATTAAATTTATGTTCCAGATTTAAATTCTAAGCAAATGAGTTGCCATAACTCACATAATGTGAGGGAATCTAGGGTGCACACTGAAGAATAGCTTCAAGCTTTCAAGAACTTCCATGAAGAATTCGAACTAAAAGGTCTTGAACTCAAGCCAAGGTAACCTGAAGATAACACTTTGTACTGACACATAAATTTACCAAGAATAATGTTAACGTTCACTGTTTATGATAACTGTGTGAACAATGACGGTCCTATGGTTAAGTTTAATCTAGAATTTTCAAATGTTTGGTTGAATCTTTTCTCCATTGTTACTGATCTTCAATTTATTTTATTTACCTTCTAAGAAGGTATTATTTCTTATTATTACAAAGAATCAGAACCTTATTTTAGTTGGCCCTTATTTTAGGGGTAATATTGGAATATGGGTCTCGTTATTTCTAGCCTATTTGGTTCAAAAAAGTAAAATTTAATTTTTTTCAAGATATAACAATCAACTCATCGTAAGTATTTAATTTTTCTCTATTGGAACCCAGATTAAAAGTAGCTATTTCAAATTTTTAAATTCCTGAAACAGTTGAAATTTTATTTTTAAGGAGAAACATATCAAGAAAATCAGAAATAAGGATACGAGATTTTAATAGCAAATAATTTTCTCATGAACCAAATGGAGGATAGTATATCTATATATTAATTTTTGGTTAGGTTTTGAATCATTTAAACCTCTCCTTTCCTTCTAATAAGACAACTTAATCTCTTCTCTTGTGTTTTCCATCTCCATCCGTGCATTTGGCCTTGACATAAAACCTGTTCCTGAGTTATTTTCGCCTATTTCACCGCACAGTAGCACTGTCAGCGCTTCTTGCCGACAGTGGGTATATGAACTACACACAGGAGATGCGAAAGCGCCTGAGCGATGGAGCGCGCTTCTCGCCGCCCCGCCGCCTCCTAAGGTGCGCCCCCCGCGGCCGCCTGGGGAGCCG